GGGGGGGGGGGGGGGGGGTAAAGAGGCGGGCGGGCTGGGTGCGAGGGCACTTCGTTGGAAGCATCGAATTCGAGAGTGGGGGCAAGGAAAGAGGGCGTGGCATCTTCATCAAACTCCAGGAAATCGGGTCTGACAGGGTGGAACGAAAGGCAAGTGTGTGACACTGCAGATTAATAAAGGATGAGATCGAGGCAGCCCGTGAGTGGGCTAAGGCCTGGTGAGACGGAAAAGGGGAAGGGGCAGTAGCATCATTCTTTAGCGCGCTGGGCAAAAATCTCGTGTGTTGGCAAAAGGTCTGTCGACGAAAAGAGAGCAGGCAAAGGGGCCTGGAGCCGGCCCATGGGTGGCAAAAACAAAAATGGTGGGATAAGGCGGTTCCGCCGGATGTCGGAAAGAAACAATCTCCTTGCGAGCTGCCGCCAGCATCTGCTGACCGTGCGGAACTCGGCAGTGGGGGCAATTGGATGCAGCACAAAAGCTGGGCAGACAGAAACAAACTAGCTGACCTAAAGCGGGGGTGATCACAAAACATGTGGGCATCGCAGGGCGATGTATGTATGTGCGGGGGAGGGATCTAGTAGGGGTCACAGGATGTGTGGTACTAGGGGCAAAGTTTGGATGGGCCTTTGCGCAAGGCGGGACCAGAGGGATTCGTCGTTCGGGCAGCAGATGTGGGGGGCCTGGGACAGTACATGAGAGCGCCAGAGCGCCATGTGGTGGGAAGGGACGCTTTCCCCGCACTCACATGAAGGCAGCGAGCTCCTCAGAGTTGGCTGCCGGGTAGGTGTTAGCAAAGCGCGGAATGATGTTGCTGCCAGTGCAGAGGCGGGCCTGCGCCTTCCAGACGGCAACCTTGGCCTCCAGCTCGGCTCCCAGCCGCGGGTTGAGCTTGCCGGCACTGGCCGCAGCGCGCGCCAGCAACGCGGCGCTGGCGGCCGGGCTCATTTCGCCCACCGCCTGCCGGCGCACCGCCTCCTCCGCCACGCTCTCCAGCAGCGGTAACACGCACTGATATACGGGCTGCGGGGGACAGGAAGGACGGGAACGGCGTCGAGCGCATGCACCCGCACACTGCAGTGGCACTGCACCGTGAGCCCCTGGGCAGACACCTGGCTGCAGCAAAGCCAACTCACCCAGGGAAAAAATCCCAGCGAAGCAGCGACTGCAAGCACAGAAGGCATAGGCAAGTCAGTCCACACTGTGGATAACATGCGGCAGGGCTGGGCATCGACACCAGCTCCCCTCGGGTGAACCACCCCTCGGGCAAGCCACCCTGCTGGCAATGGGCCTCACCTGAGGCGAGGTGTGGGGCCGCCAGCTCGCGCAGGTTGGAGGTCAGCAGGCCGCCGCAGATGTCGGCGACATCGTACTGGCAGGGGCGGTAGTTGGGGCGAGCGGCGCGCAGACTGGCCATGGCCGACAGCAGACGTGACAGCTCCTGCGGCAGGCAGCGGGTGGGGTGGACGCAGGCTGAGGCAGCGGGCAAACCGCATCTGCCGTGGAGCAAGCAGGTGCCCATGAAGGAAGACTGCTGGCGACAGTGCCGGCTGCCAGCTGTCGTCGCACACCGGCCTCACCTGGGGCGAGAATGCGCCGGCCTTGATGTGCTCGCGCAGCACCAGCCCAAACGTGCTGCTGATCATGGGCAGGCTGCCCAGGTCGGCCCATGCCTGGTACACCGCCAGCGCCACCTGCGGCGTGATGCTCTCGGTGTGCAGCTCCACCGCCGCTTCCAGCTCCACTTGCAGGTGCAAGTAGTAGCGACTGCAGCGAGAGGGGCAGGGCAGCCAGCCAGCAGCGTCAGCGCAGGTGCAGACTGCGGCGGTCAACAGGCAGGACAGGCGAGCATTCAGTGCAGGTGGCCGCGGGCGGGGCAGCTCTTCACCTGAAGCTGTCGCGCAGGCTGTCATCTGCAGCATAGTTCAGGCGGCTGACAATCTGCGGGCGAGGCAGGCAGGCAGGCGGCAGTGGCCGTAGTGGATGTTCAGTCCTGCCGGATGGAACAGCCCGGCCTGGTTCAGCACGGCTGGCTCAACGTGCAGCAGGGCTGCACACCTGGAGCAGCAGCACGGCGGGGGCGACGCCCAGGTCCTTGTGCGTCTGCGCCAGCTCCAGGCAGCGCTCCAGGAAGCAGGAGAACTCGGGGCTGTAGACCAGCGGCGAAGGTGGAAGCTGTTGCGGCGCGTCCAGCGAGGGGCAGGCGGAGCAGGTGTTGGCCACGTGGCCCTCCACCGCTGCCAGGCGGTCCACCACCGTCTCCTCGCTCAGGCTGTCCAACCTGATGAGGCTGAAAAGGCCACGAGCCTGCAGGTGCGTGACGGAGAGTGGTAAGCTTGGCCAGCTGCGGCGGGCAACAGGGCGACGGCGGCGGCGAGGGGCGCACCTGGATGCCGCGCGGCGGCGCATTGGGCAGGAGGCAGCAGGGGCGCCCCGAGCTGGTGGAGGCCACCAGCAGCTCCACGCAGCTTTCGCTGAAGTCGCACAGGCGGCGCAGCGGCGCTGGGCGTGTGGGGTGCTTGCACTTGGCGGCAGTGGCGGGAAGGCTGGCGGGCGGGGCTACCAGGGCGCCCTGCAGCACCCGCTGCGCCGAACTGCAGGTAGGGGAGCGACGGCTGTTCAGGACGGGGAAAAAGAGGTTGGGAAACGAACCATCGCTGAGGCACGAGGCGGTTGGCTGGGAGCCCTCTGCAGCCCTTTGGCGCTCCTGGGCACCGTGGCAGGCTGCCAGGGCCCACCACGACGCCCTCACACCTCACCTCAGCATCGCTTCGCGCCTCGACTCTTGGCGGGTCAACCAGCGTGGGACACCGAGCCAGACAACAGGAAAGAGCAACAGGACGTTCGAAACGCCGATAACTCGTTTTGTTTGCAGGCAAATCAATCTGCAGATTCATACACGTGGCGCGCGCGATCGATCTGCAAAACTTCAAAGCAAAGCATGGTTACAGTAGCAAAGGATGTTCAATTACTAGTACAGAAGGACTAGCGCTGTCTGTAGGGCAGCCGTGTGTGGGGCCGCCGCCAGATGCCGCGCGCCGCCAGTGGCGACTCAACTACTCCTCAGCATTCTCGGCCCAGACAAAGAGTCCCGCAGCGGGTGACCCCAGATGATGCTCCTTCTCAAAAGCGCGGACCTGGAAACCCTGCCGTTTGGACGGCGGGCGCACCGTCACGCGGGCCTGCTGCTTGTAGAGCAGGAACAGAATGCGATGCTTGCCCTGCAGCGGCGGGCGGGCACCATAAAGAACAGGGTTCGGTGCAGACCAACAGGGGCCCCTGTTGTTGACTTTTTCATCATTCACCTTGGCCGGCTCGGGGGGCATGTACGCCACCGCCACCTCGCCGCGAGCAGGATCATGGGAAGGAATGTTCACCACCTGCAGTTGTTCTTGTTCGAGCTGTTCAGGGGTGTGCTCATTCATCGACAGAACGGCTACGGACACCAGCGCCTCACCATCCAGTGCAGCCAGGAACGATGCTTGGGGCTGTGAGGGGAGGGGGCGTCAGGGTCAACTGCAAGCAGCGTGTACGTGCCCGGAGTGGAGATGCTCAACTCCGGCTCCTGCACAGCGGGGTGGAAGGGCGTGTATGCTGCTGTCGCCGGCAGCAAAGCACTGTCCATGGAAGCCAGTTCGTTTTCTTCGAGGCCGATAACATCCTGGCAATGTGGGGCACGCACCTCCAGCAGCGCATTGTCCATGCTGTTAAGCAGCATGCCGTTCTCGACGTGGATAGTGCCATAGCGCAGCGTAAATGAGGCCGACTCCATCACCTCTGGCAGGGTGAGGCAGCAGAATTAGCATGCCAGCACAATGAACCGATGGGCACACGGAGCAGAGCAGCCGAAAGCTGGCCGCACCATCCACAATGTCAGGTACGGCTTTGCACATCGCGAAAGCCACGGTTGTGTCGCTGATTCTACAGAAAGAGAGAAAAAGAGAGGGGAGCAGGGGTTGCGGCGGCGGCTGGGCGTCAGCCACCAACAGGCGGGTGGGGCGCTCAGGACTTGTGAGTGCCGCCACCTCCCTGCGGCTTTCCCTACTTGTCTGCGTAGTCGCTGATCGATGGCTCGCGCTGCGCAATCTGGTCCGGACTAACTACAGGCTTGGGCATAGTGGCTGGCTTGTTGTGAGAGGGCGTCCACGAAGAAAATCGGCCGAGCGGTACCTGCCTCGATAATTTGTAGGGATAGGAAATGAAACAAGGCCATTTGCGGTGGCAAAGCCAGTACAGGTAGGCGCCAGCAGCGCAATGATGAAGCCACCTGCCCCACCTGCATGCGCACCCATCTTTTGCAGGCCGACCCGGCACAGGGGCGCTCCGTCCAAGGCCACAACGCTGCATAATGCTGCTGGCATGGTCTTCCTCCGTCAGGCCGGTGGCCGCCCTGTTCCGCAGCCGCAACCCCAACTGTAATGCAGCGGGTGAGTCGAGCTGGTGTGAGCTTGTTATCGGGTCACCCGATGGTCCAAGGCCATTGGAAGGCGGCATTGTTCAATTGCAGGCTTCAAGCGCCGGAGATTCGTCCTAAATAGCTGCAGACCGATGCCTAGGGAGCTGCAGCCGACCAGCCCCATCAGCCACGTAGCCGCCCGCTCTTCGGCGGCGGCAGTGGGCATCGAAACGCCGAGCAGTGACAGGGCCATCGCAGTTGCTTTTTCCGTGCCAGCGTGCCGCCTTCAGCTCGGCGAGAGCCTGCGGGTGGTGGGCAGCTGTGCCGAGCTGGGGGAGTGGGAGGTGGAGGCGGCGCCGGTGCTCGAGTGGCAGGAGGGCGATACCTGGACCGCCGAACTGGCTCTGCCTGAGGGCTGCCACCAGCTCAAGCTCGTCGTGGCACGCGACAACGGCACTGTGCACTGGGAGGGGGGACCCAATCGCAGCCTCACCGTGCCGCTGCTGATTGGCCTGGACACCCTTTCGGCAACCTGCTGCTGGGGCAGCTCGGCCTCCCCCACCTTGGCTGCCGACCCGGAACAGCTCAAGGTTGGTGCCACCTCGCTGGTGCTTCTGCCTGCGCTGAAGTAAGCGTTGGGATTGGAATTGGCATTGCTGCTGTGCCTCACCTCCACACCACGTGGTTGGCTCTCACCTGCCCACCGCGCAGGCTGCAGCGGATGCTGCTGCTGCTCGTGTGGCGGATCTTCAGCAGCAGAAGGAGCAGGTGGCGGAGCGCCTGGCAAGCCTGGAGCAGGAGGTGCAGCACAGGTGGGCCATGCTGGTGCCCAGCAACCAGAGGATTCAAGTCTGCATGCTTGCAGTGGACTGTTTGCTGCGCAGCCCATCTCCGTGACCCACCATCCCCTGTATGGCAGGCGATCGTGTTGCCTTGCGTGCGCCTGCTTGCAGTGACGCAGCCATCTTCAGCAAACAACAGGAGATAGAGCAGCTGGTGGCAGCGGAGCAGCAGCGCATCGCCCAGGTGGCCGAGGTATCCGCGGCCGCCTCCCTGAGCCCCAATGCGGCCGCTGACACCGTGGTGGCAGTTGCAGGCGCAGATGCAGAGGCGCTTGATGTGCAGACCGCCGCAGAAGGGCGGGCACCAGATTCCATGGTGCTGCCAGGACTGCCAGGTGTCGGGGCACGGCGCTATTGCACCACCCACCTTGCTTTGAGCAGCGTGTTTGATGAGGAAATGATTGAGGAGACAGCAGCGCAGCAGCTGCAGCATACGAAGCAGCAAGCCAGCACCTCCCAGGGGCGGCCCGAGACAAGCAGCACGCAACAGGAGGAGGAAGAGGGCAAGTCTGCTGCAGCTGTGGAGCAGCCCCAGGCAGGCATCACTGTACCGGTGGCTTCTGTGGCATTGCTGAGTGCACACGAAGCCCCTGGCAGGCAGCCCAGCAAGCCGCAAGGCAAGAAGGAGAAGAAGCAAGCAAAGCAGGTGGCAGATGCTGCTGCAGCAGCCGTGGAAAAGCCTGCTGCAGCCACAACAGTTGAGGAACCCGCCTCAGGTGTGGAGAAGCCCGCTGCTGCAACTGGGGAGTCTGCAGCGTTTGCAAAGGACGGCTCGGCAGCTGTGGATGGGGCGATGGTGGAGACCAACCGTGATGGCTCCCTCAGCTTCCGCTTTGCCTGTTCCGCACCGAGCAGCAACAGCATGGATGAGGGCGGCAGGGCCGCTGGGCTGCTGCCCTCCGCACACGACCTGGCAAAGCGGCGGCTGGTAAGTCTGCTGCCGCCCCAGGCGGCAAAGGATCTGCAACGCCAACTGAGCCGCATGTCCAGCGGTGCTGGGGCTAGTCTGATACTGGCTGCTGAGCTGTCAACTGAATTTGAGCAGCAGCTGGTTCTGGAGCAGCCACCAGAGCAGGCCCAGGAGGCGAAGCCAGCAGGGCAGCAAGCCTTCCGCCTGTCTCCCAGCGCGCGCAGCACATCTGCAGTGGGAGGCCCCTCGCAGCCGGCTGCCGCATCTTCAGGGGAGGACCTGCCGGGCCAGCAGCGTCGGCGTGCCCGGCAGCCAAAGCAGCCAAGGCAAAAGCAGCCTATGGCCGGGAGCGTCAGCCTGCCACGCATGGCGGATGAGCCGCCCAACACTGATGAAACAGCTGCGACTCCCGCCACAGAGGATGTGCCGGTGCTGGCCCCGCCGCCCGTGCCCGCTGCGCCCTCTACCACAGCTCAGCACCAGCAGCCCGATGACGTGCTGCGCCTTTTCGCCACACCGGACGTTGGAGCGCCGCTGGGCAGCGGGGTCAGCGCCATAGGCATAGCTGACGGCTACACTGCCGTGACACTGCGCCCCAGCCTGCCCAGTGAGTGCCTGCCTTGCCAGCTACTTGGAGTGCAGCACACCATGCCTGGTTGGATGCCTGGAGTGCGTCCAATTGTCGCGACAAGGTACCTCAATAACACGTGTCGGTATTGCACATGTCTTTGCTGCCTGCAGTCTCAGCGGCCTGGCTGACGCTATTGAGCGTGTACGAGGCGGGTAGGCTGCTGTGGACCGTGGCTGGCACCGTCCTGCCGCCCGCAATTCGGGGACGCCCCGCAGATGTCGCCTTCTGGCTGCTCTTCACTGCAGCCATCATTGCCCCGTTCTGGAGGTGAATGTTTCTTGTGCAGCCAAGCCCTGGGACTACCAGCTAGCACCTTGGCTGCTTGCAGGCTTGAACAGGAGCAGGGGTACTTCCTGGTTCTTCCCCCTTGTCCAGCGCATTTTGTGTCTCAAAGTTTTCCAAAAGAACCAGCTTTAGCATTTTTTTCCCGCTGTGGTGCACCGGTCTGCACAGTAGCCTCCCAGAAAATGTGCCTGATGAGTCGCGAGTAGTGTGCTTGCTGCCTTGCCACCTTTGAAGGGGGTGCGTCACAGACAGGTCATACAACAATTCAGCAGGAAGTGATCAAAGGCCTGGGGAAGGGTGAAGGGAGACGGGGGAGGCCAGTCAAAACAGAAGCAAGGCGACGTAGCTATACGACACTGGCACGGTCTGCTGCTCATCGCACCATCACAGGGACCCCAACTGGAGGCGCGCGGGTGGTCCACACATCAGGCTGCCGCAAGGGACCGAGCTGCGGCCACCTCACGCAAAAGGGTTGCCAGATGCCTGGGGCTTGGGCGCCGCCGGTGCGCTCATGTCGTAGCCAGTAAGCGACGGCGTGCGGCCAAACAAGGTGGCGGTGGCGGCAGCCGTGGCAGGCGCCATGCCCGCAGCAGGCACTGGCGGCGCTGCAAACGGTGCCGTCACGGCGCCGTATGGGGAGGACGCAGGTGGCACGGCCGCAGAGTGGAAGGGCGGCAGACCCGATGGGGTGGGTGGCGGCGCAGCAGCCCCATACTTGCTGCTCCCGCCATTGGGCACCGCAGGCAGCGCGCCGCGCAGGCCTGGGGCCAACCCCGCAAATGGATCACTTGCGTCAGGGTCGCCCAGGCGATGCGCCGCCGGAGTGGGCGCTGCTGTGCCGGGCATCAGCTCTGACAGCGAGCCAGTGCTGCTGCGCAGGGCGGCGGCGTGGTCGGCAGGCACGCCGGGGAAGGTGCCGTAGCCGCCGCCATTGGCCACGGGCGGCGGGCCGGACGAGAAGCCGCTGCCTGCTGGGGAGACCACGCTGCCGGCAGGGGAGTAGCCCGAGGAGGCAGAGTAGCCAGGAGAGGGCATGCCGGGACGCCCCGCCGGGCTCGCCCCGCCATAGCCATAGCCTGGGTGCAGCGGGGCGGGCGGGATGGCAATGGTGGGCCGCACCCCCGGTGCCGCGCCGTACCCGCCATAACCCGGCTGCGCCGCTGGATAGCTGTAGGTGGCATACGGGTTGGCGCCAGCCGGCCGCCCCGCCACACCCGCCGGGGCGCCATACGAGGGCGGGAAGGCAGGCAGCGGCACAGGCTGGCCGGTGGGCAGCATGCCGGTGGCACGGATCTGCTCAAACTCGGGATAGAACACGTCCTGCGCTTGCAGGCATTGCAGGGAAGGGCGCCAGGGTGAGGCTCGATGTGCATGAAGCTGGCAAAAAAGTTGCGGGCATGGAAGTCCAATAGTGCAGGGCGGGGTAGATCAGCGCCTGGCGGAGCGAGGCTCGTTGGCTCACCATGGGCACCTCTGGCCGGCTGGTGCTGCGGACAGGCTGCATAGGCTGTGACTTGGGTGGGCTGCTGCTGCCTGCCGCTGCAGCTGTGGCAGAGGCGGCTGGCTTGGAGGCTGCAAGCCCATCGCCAAATGCCTCCCAGCTGCCTGCAGCCCCTGCTGCTGCTGCCGCGGGCGCTGCAGGGGGCAACAATGCGGACGCTGGTGGCGGCTTTGGCGCAGGGGTGTCGCCAAAGGATGCCCAGGTAGCCTCTGCTGCCGGCGCCGAAGCGGGGCGTGGGGAGGCCTGGGCGGGTTGCGCTGCTGCAGCCGCTGCTGGGCTGCCGCTTGCAGCTGCCGCTTGCTCGCCGAAGGGATCCCAGGCTGCTGCAGGCGCTGCTGCTCCGGGCGTCGACGCTGGCACTGACCGGGCAGACTTGGGCGATGAGACATCAAGCAGGTTCAGCCCGCCGCCTGCTGCCGCTGCCGTCGCTGCACCATGAGAGGCAGAGGCTGCCGTTGCTGTCCTTGTCGGTGTGGCCGCCCTGCGCCCAAACACCCGCAAAGCCGGTGAGCACGGAGGCATGCCTGCCCGCCAAACAAGCCAGCAACCAGCACAGATTCCATCACGGCAGCAGCAGCGCTCGCGGCAGCAGGTTTCGGCGCAGCAAGCTGACTTTGGCGCACCCTGCCGAGCTGCTGATGGCGCTGACGCTGCGCTCCAGGTTGGCACTGCCCTGCACCTTGAGCTTGGGCGTTTCCGACCCCAGCACATCTGACATTGGCCGCACAGCTGGCTCACGGCCCTGCAGGAGGGAAGGCTGCTGGCTGGTTTGTTCGATCTTCATCTGGCCCACGCACCACCCTTCTTGCCAGCACCTGTGTGCAGCACCTGCCGCAAAGCATGCCATGAGCGCGCACCTCGCTGATGCTGCTGCCCGCCGCCGACATGGCGCCGGTGCCGGGCGCCCACCCGCCGGTTGGCTCGGCGTAGAAGCGGCGGTCCTGGTAGATGGCGCTAATCCAGGTGTGGATGCGGTGCACGTCACGGTCCACCGGCTTAGGCAGCGCCGCGGTGGTCCATTTGCTCAGGAAGTAGGCTGCAAACTTCTGCGGCGCATAAATGGTGGGGCCAGCAGCCGCACTTGGTGAGTTGAGCAGCAGAGCCTGGGTTGATTGGTGCGGCTGCTTGATCGTGACCCTTTGGCCTTCCCCAATGAGAGGCAGCAAAGCATCACTGACAGCAGGCTCCAGTCTGCACCGGTGCAGCAAAAACCAGTCTGGTGGTGAGGGCGGCACACCTCGTTGCCCGACGCCTCCAACTCCGCCACCTCCTCTGGCTTGAATGTGGACATGGACACACCCTTAACACGGTGCCCAAACTGGCGGCTGCGGCATTGATTGGCATGGCGGTGGGATCAGCAGCAGGACTGGTCGCGGCGGCAACAAGCTGGCGGCGGCAGTAGGGTTGACTAGCGCGCAGGCGTCGCGGCGGCGCGGCCACAGACACTCACTGCACGCCGCTGCACACGGTGCAGACGAAAACGTTGAAGTTGCACACCACATACTGGGGCCCCTGCGGCAGAGAGGGCGAGATCGGGAGCGGGATCGAGGGCAAACACTGGCAATGGGTCCGCTGCGTCCCCAGCCTTGCTGAGCCAATCTGGTGGACACGAGGCCACCCACCAACGAGTCGCAGTTGACGCAGCGACGGTTTTGCGTGTCCTTCAGCAGTGCCTTCAACCGAGCCTCCGTCTTGTCGGGACGCATGTTGGCACGATCCGAATGCAGGATGCCCGGGGCGGATGGAGGCCTAGGCTCGCACAACAAGGAAAGTCGAGGAGCACCAGCCAGCTACGAAGACCGGCCGGCTTATGCACCCCTCCTCATTGCTTCGAGAGTCCGACTGTCAATCCAAAGCCAGAAGCACCGCACAAGGAGCTTTCACCTGACGCCACCTGACGGCGCCACCTGACGCCGGCCCATCCCCTGCCCTGCCCACCACTCCTCGTCTGCCTCGTCTGCCCACCACTATCATATCTCCTGTGCTTCTCTTGCTGCTGCTCGCACCTGCCGTGGCTTCGTTGTGTCATCCGGTGCCGACTGCACTGCCGTCAACGCTACATGGCTACCAGATGGTGGAGCGCCATGTAGTGTTCCAGTCGCGCAGCGGCGTTGGGAGTGTCTGGCCTGAGGCCTACTCCGCAGATGGGCAAGACAAGGGATGAATAGAAGCCGGGCCATAGATGCACCGGGTTGACCAGGCGCCTGCTCCGCCCTCTTCCTCCCCTTCCCCCTCCTTCCTGTGCAAGGGGTACTGCAAGTGCCATGAGGGGGAGGTGGATTGGGTGCAGAAGCGGTGCCATCTTCTCATGCTGTTTGTTGGGTTCCGTCATGCTTAAACTTGCGTGCGGTGGACGAGTTGCTCTTTTCTCAGCATCTGAGATCAATGCTCTCAGATCATCTTTGAGCGAAGCCATATCGAAGCAAGCAAAGTGGTTTAATGCTGTCAATAGTCATCAGCTCATCAGCAACGTCTGCTTCTGCTCCTGCCACTCCTGCCGCAGCTGGTTGGCAAGCTGCTCAGCCCGCGACCTGTAAGCAGCGGTGGTGCGCCCCCCAGGGTTTGGAAGCTCGGTGAGCCGTTCATCTTGCCAAAACACATGGAATGCTCAGCACCAAGCATGGCGGCTTGCAGCTGGCAGCAGCTGCTGTCCCGCTGTGGCTGCGCCCACCCTACCTGAGGCGCTGCTCCAGCTGCGCGCAGCCTGACAGCACAAACTCCTCCACGATGACGCTGTCGCTAGGCACTGCCACAATCTCAACGCGGGCCAGCGTGTCGGTGCCGAACTTGATGAGGTCGCCATCCTTGAGCGCTACGAAAGCCAAGGGCTCGCCCGCCAGCGCCTTGCCGTTGAGGACGGTGCCGTTAGTGCTGCCCAGGTCGCGCAGCTGCCACGCCCCCTGCTGCCAAACCACCTCGGCGTGCTGCTCACTGATGGTGGGGTCTTTGATGTAAAGCGCCGACTTGGTGGTGCGCCCGACACGCAGTGAGGCGCCCCTATTCTCCAGCTGCTTGCCCGTCTGCGGCCCCTCCAGCATGTGCAGGCGCAGTAGCGCCGGCACCTCTGCCTGGCTCATGGCTTGCTGGCTGGCGTCTCAGCGGTGCGCGCGGGCGGGGGCGGTGCAGGCGCGGCGGCGGATGTTCAAGGCGGAAGGCGGAAAGGCTGCAGGCACAGGCGCAAGAGAAAGTTTTTGAATATGGTGCATCTCGCAGACACAGGCACGTGCCCGGGCCTTCCACTTTCACACGCAGCTGCCGCAGCCTGCCCTAGCCCAGCAAACCGCGCTCAAGCAACAGGCGGCTCACCGGAGGCGGCCAAGGGGGAGAACGCGGTGAGCAGATGAAAATCAAGTTCCAACAGGGGCAAAGCATGCACGACAGACGGCGCCAGCAGCGCAGAGGGCCGCCATCCTTTGGGTAGTTATAATGTGCACATGCAGCTGCTGCTCCCTCTCGGTCAACCGTGCCTGCCAAAGTTACCGACCAGACATTGTATCACCGGTTTTGTAGGGTTCACCGGTAAATTACTCTGTTCAGACTGCAGCAATAGCAGTAACCTTGCTGGACCAGTGGCAGCCATTGCAGGACGTCCAGGGCGGGCAGCCCGGATGAACCTGAATGGCACACTGCATGTGAAGGATGTGCCGACATCCGCAGGCGCCCCGGTAACCCTGCAGCAGCTGAGCTGCGGGAGTGCAGTGTCGGTTTGTCACAGCTACGACCAACAAGTCAATCTGGAGCATGCCTCGGGCAAGACAGGCACTGCAACCAGGATGCTCGTGTCCCTTCGACTGCCAGCAGAAAGAGAGCATGCCACCAGTATGCACCACTTGTCCCGCTTCCTTCGTGGGCAAGCCTGAGCCGTCCTTCATGCTGGTACTCCAGGACCTGCATCAATGCAATTGCTTCCCGACGATACAGTCACCATCGATAGGTGGCCGATGGCGGGTGCAGCATTGGTGCAGATGGATGGTTGCGGCATCTCCGACTTGGCGATGACGTTGGCGGTGCCCAGGCGGCATCCTGGCCGCAGTATTCTTGTCACCGGAAGTACCGGCCAGGAGATAAGATGAATCAATGCTGGCGTGCGCCCACATGTGCTGACTGTGAAGCAGAAGTTGACTGGATGTTAGAGCCAAATGCAGCTGCAGGCTAGGCGACCAGCAGCCGACCTGGTAGGAGCCCCCATGCCGGTTTCACACTGCTTCGCAAATCTTACAATTGGCATCGCAAATCTTACAATTGGCAAGCAACCACAATTCACGGTTGGATAAACCGAGCAGTAGGCGGCTGACCAAACAGTCCATATGCGTTTCGTTGTGCGAGGCGCGCTGTACAGCGGCTCGCCGTGTGACTCAGCGTTTCTGTTCACTCCAGCTGGGCTGCGCGCCGCCACCATAGCGGTGCGGCTGCACGCCGGTGTGGGTTTGTGCACCGCCACTGGCGCCCCCAATGCCTCCAGGCCGGCCTGCCTGGCTGCCATAGCCGTAGCCTCCTGCGCCCTGCTGCGGCTGCACCATGCCGGGCGGCTGCACCATGCCCATGGGTGCTGCCATTATGCCCTGGCCCATCATCTGCTGCACCTGCTGCTGGGTGAGCAGTGCATCAGGCATGATGCCAACAGGCGCGCCGCTGCCGCCAATGCCACCACCCGACACTCGGATGCCACCGCCCATGGCGCCTGCAGCGGGTGCACCGCCGGCACCGCCACCCCGGTACGGCTGCTGCCCTGCCCCGCCGCTGCGGTACGGCTGCTGTTGCTGAGGGTAGGGCTGTTGCGGGCCCGTGTACTGTCCCTGCGTGCGCTGACGCTGCGATGGCGGACCGCCTTGCTGCGGCGGCGGCGGCGGCGGGCGCGGCTGTCCATGCTGCTGCGCACGCTGCTGACCGCCGTAGCGCTGCTCGTGACGCGCTTTCTTCATCGTCATTTCGTGCGAGGATGGGAACGTCGGCATCTGGCTGGGCTTGCAGGGCATGGGGTCGCTGAAGAAATACTGGTGCTGCACAGCGCAGCACAGTGCACGGGGGCAGAGAAGTTGGTGGGGACGCAGGCACCAGTTCAGCTAGGAAGGCAACAATTCAGCCTGCCACGCAGCCAACTGAGGTAAGGAGTGGCGCTCACCGTGACTGCATGTTCGGCCTTAATGCGGGCTGCGGGGTTGAGCGCCAGCAACTGCTCCAGCAGGTCAAGGGCACGAGGGTCTTTCACACCGCGTGAGTCGCAGTGCTGCACACAGGCAGGCAGCGCATTGATGTTCGTGACTGCAGCAGGGCAGGCAAAATAACCCCAAAATAGAATGGGACCACCGCTCAAGCATGCAGACCAGATGTGCAGGTGTGACTGGCCACGGGCGCTTGCCTGCCGCAGGCGGGAGCGCAGCGGGAACCGGCTGACCGACAGTCGCTCGTAGTTGGCATAGGCAGTGCAGCCGGGCATGGTCTGCTCGTTGGGCTGCCCCATGATGCTAAAGATCCTCTCCACCTGGTCCGTCTCGTTTGTGCCTGCGGCACGGGAAAGAGGGGAGGAGGTCTCCATCTTGCCCATGGCATGACAGGTATCACATGACGGCAGGCAGGGACGCAGACGCCCACATGAGCTACACATGTGGGCCGGCTGGAAAGAAGGAGCCACCAGGCACACCTGGGAAGAGCGGCTTGCCGGTGAGCAGCTCAAACATGATGCACCCCGCGCTCCAGGTGTCGATCTCTGTGCCGTACCGCTCCGCGCCCAGGAACAGCTCGGGCGGCCTGTGCGTGGCACCATGAGCAACGCGGCAATAAAAGGCCTGCCAGGCAAAGGGCTCATAAGTGTGCTTCCAAGCACAGCATGTGTCCTGCCTGGATGCGGCCCAACAAATTTGCTTTCTGCCACCAACTCTCATCTGCTCCTGCACCCCACGACCTCGCCCATCCCCGCCAAGGGCAGGCTGCCCCACCTGTACCACAGCGTGATGACGCGGTTGGTCATGCGCGAGTCCACCTGCTCAGTCCCCTCATTTCTGTCGTCCGGCTTGTTGTAGTACCGCGCCAGCCCAAAGTCTGCAATCTTCAGCTCGCCCTTGTTGTTCACCTGCGCAGCCAGAGGCCAAAACTGGGGCCGGTGTAGGAGACGAGGCAGGCAGGCTGCAGGCAGGCACGCACACAGGCAGCAAACGCGCAGCTTAGACAGCTGCCGCACCAGCAGGTTAGCATTCTTGAGATCGCGGTGCAGCACGCTTCGCTGGTCGAGCAGCCACAGCCCACAGAAGAGCTGCTTCAGATAGCACTTGATCTGCAGCCGTTCAGGGCAGCCATGTGTGGGGGCAGCCAGCGACCGCGACTCAAGACGGGCACGGCCCACAGCGCAGCCCGCTTATCCCCTCCAACGCACCTGCGGGGCAGTGAATTGCGGTCCCTCCTTCCGGCTGCGCTCCAGCAGGCCCGTCATGTCATGGTCCATGTAGTCGAACACCATGTAGATGGAGCCCTGCACAGGTGGCGTGGGAGGGGGTACAGGGGTGGGTGCGGGGTGAGGTGAACTCACATGCAGGGAGATGAAAAGATCCCAGCTGCAGCTGAACACCACTGCCCCGAGCACCCAGCGACCCAAATGGAGGGCCAGCAGCCGCGTGCCTTGAAGTTGTTGACGCGGTGGCTGCCGCTGCGCACAATCTCGCGCAGCCCGATGATGTTGTTACGCAGGAACGTGGGCTCGCCCCCCTTTTCCACTGACTCCATCTTCTCCTGCGCCCCTGCCAATGCGGACAGGATCTTGATCTGGTGCGGGGATAGGGAGGGCAGGGAGCTTGGTTGATGGGCCAGAGAAGGAATGTGCTGCCAGCTGCAGGTTGAAGTTGGCAGGCTGCCATTTGCGCTCGCTGACAACACAAAATAGCCACCCTGCCACGCAGGCCTTTCACACCTCGCGGATGGCAGTGATGGGAAACCCCTCCTTTTCATTGTCCATCTTGATCTTTTTGGCGGCCACCTGGTCACCCTTGGCCAGATCGGTAGCCAGGTACACCTGCCGGCGGTTGGGGCGGGTTTAGCAATTGCCCGCCATGCAGCCTGCCCTATGCTCGTTCAGGAACAGTATGCAGGTTGCCCAGCCAGCACACGTCCCCTGCCGCACCTCGCCATAGGTGCCCTGGCCAAGCACGGGTCCACGGTCGTAGCCCGCCTCTATGCTGCGGCAGCCGCCAAACTCGGAATCGGCGTTGGCGCCGCTCTCCGGCAGCTCTATGCGCCACTCTGTGGGAATCTCCTGCGTTTGTTTGGGGCCCTTGGTGCCGGAGGCCCGTGGGGGGTGGCCAGACGCCATGGCGCCCTGCAGCCGACGCGGCGCCCTGCAATGCGGGCCGGCTGCCCGCCGAGGCCAGCGCCAGGCCGCAGGGGCCTGCGCGAGGAGAGAGCAGCCCGCGGTGGGCAGGCGAGGCAGTGAGCGTGGGAAGGAGCGGCAGTGATTGGTCACAGCAGAATAGTGACTGTATGTGTGGACTCTTGTGTTGGGAGAAACAACCGAGTCCCGAGTCTGGCTGCGAGGTGTGCTGAGCTCGAGGTGTGCTGTTTTTTCGCTTCCTATCAAGTGTAGCATTTACCGCGAGATTGAGCAGCTGCATACACATTTTGTGCAGCAAGCCATTGATCACCTGCTAATAAGCACCTGAGCAGCAGCAGGCGAGGTAGCCACACCACAGGCAGGGGCAGGGAAGCAGGCAAAGCTGCAGGACGGCATAGGAGGGAACAGCCGGCTACTCAGTCGCGGCTGACGTTGGGCGGCTGCCGCCACTGCCACCGCCGCCCCTGCCGCCGCCGCCACAGCGGCGGTGTGCGATGACGAGCCTGCGGCGCTTCACTGCCCACGACTTGCTGCAGTTCAACAATGTGAACTTGGACTACTTCACAGAGACGGTGAGTTGCAAGGGGCTGCGCTGGCATGCCAGCGTTGCTCAAGTTACGTGGAACTGCCCACCTGATCGTCCTGCTCCTGTAGTACAACCTCAACTTCTACCTTGAATACCTTGCCAAGTGGCCAGAGTACTGCCAGATGGCTGAGGGACCTGTCAAGCAGTCCATGGGATACAGTGAGCACCCGCCGCTCCTAAGCTCCACCCGCCGGATCCTGAGCTCCACTCCATGCTCGAAATCCTCCTGGTACCTCTCCACACACTCCTTCCTTATGCAGTCTTTGGCAAGGTTGAGGGCAAGGGCGAGAAGTGGCATGGCCACGTGACGGCGGTAACAGTGGCGCCCGCCTACCGCCGGCTGCGCCTGGCGGAGAAGTTGATGGGGCTGCTCGAGGACGTGACTCACACCATGCACGCCGGCTACTTTGTGGACCTGTTTGTGCGGGTGTCCAACGCTGTGGCTATAAATATGTATACCAAGGCGCGTCTGTGCAGTCCCTGTCTCTGACGCCAGCACTCGTCATATTTTGCGCACCGCCTGGCTGCCCTCGCCTGCTCGCCCCGCCCCCCCTCATCCCTCATTTCCAGCCTGCAGTTTGGGTACACAGTCTACCGGCGAGTGCTGGAGTATTACAGCAACAACGAGGATGCCTTTGGTGCGGTGGCGTGCTGGTGCAGCAAGCCAACACTGCATGGCGTGGTGGCACCTACCGGCCCAGGCATTGCTTCTTGCTGGGTGCAGCCGTGAACTTCCTGGCATTGAGGCTGCCTGGCATGCCTGACACAATCCTCTTGTTCCTGCCATGGGGCATTTTGTTGCAGACATGCGCAAAGCGATGCCGAGGGATGTGCAAAAAAGGTCTGTGGTGCCTCTCAAGAAGCCAGTGCGGCCAGAAGACCTCGAGTTTGATTGATGGCGCTGTTCATTGTCTGCACCTTTTTCTCTGCCCTGGCAACCTCCACTGCTGTCGTTGCCGAGTTTGTTCGGCTGCTCCTGTTACGTTGATCCACAGGGGCCAGGACCTAGCCAGCCGCAGCTTGCATACACAAGCCAGCCTAGTTGTTGAGCTCATATACCACAGAGTGTAGGCAGACCGCCATGCCTGAACAGATGAATGCCTCAGATAATTGCGTAGCAAAATGTGTTAAGTTAAACTGGTAACAAGCGAAGCAAGAGGGGAGCGAGGGAACCAAACAGAGGAAGTAAGCGCAGAGCAAGACATATAGCAGCATTTTCAGTGAACATGCGGTGCTTGGCACAGCGCCGCCGTGCTCACGCCAGGGCTGTGGAGGGTGTGATTGAGAGCGTGTAGAGGCCCTGGCTCTCCAGCCAGTCTCCGCTGAACCCGTCCACCACGATGAAGTAGGTTACACCCGCCTGGAACGTGGTGCTTAGCCTGCTGGCCTTAGGGTTGGAGGAGCAGCTGGGGTCGTCGTCGTTGCCCACAAATGCCTGCAGGCAGACACATAGGTCTGATGGTGGGCCAGAGTACTGCAATCGCTGCCACAAATGGCACCAGGTGCTTGGTTGTGAGCTGCATATTGGTGCGCTGCTGATGAGCCCACCGGTATCCTCGGCCACCTACCTGCATGTTCTCGGGGTCGTCGATGATGTAAAGCTGGGTGTCAAACAGCGAGCCGCAGGTGGAGATGTCTACCGCCATGTCGGCTGGAGCAGTGTAGGCATACACAACCTCAGGGGCACCGCCAAGGGAGCCCTGCACATGAGCAGCAAGCCATGCGAGAGCTCTGGGCTAAGGAGAACAGCACCCATATTTTTGTTGCTGAGGTGAGAGCCAGCCATGACTTGACAATGTCAAGCCCGACTTGTACAGCGGCGGGTCATGATCCATCCATCCTCACCGCTGCTGGGTTGTTGCCACTGGAAGAGAAGAGGTATTTGCTGCTGAAGCGAGAGGTAACATCGGTGTCGGTGAATGGCAGCTGGCTGATGGTGCGCGGCTGCTGTATGCTGTCCCCTGTCAGAGGCCGCCGGTCCACCACCTTGATGGCGTGCATGCCGCCCTCATACCGAGGGTCGGAGCTCCTGCACGCAGCAGCAGGCATGCGTAGTGGCTGGATGCACAAGGCAAATCCCCATGCTAACTGCATTGTCAGTAAAAGGGCAAGGTAGCCAGGATGTTGTCTTTAGCGGACCGCCAAGCCTGCCAGCATTGCTCTCACGAGAACTGCAGGGTGAAGTGGTACGTGCCATCAACCAGCCCCGAAGGCTGCACCGACAGGGTCTGGGGCATGCTCCACGAAGCTGCTGAGATGGTGAGTGTGCTGGGCGAGACGGCAGCCAGGCTGCTGTTGGCCCATGCCGCTGATGGCACCATTACACTGCACAAAGCGGGAGAAATGGCAAGGAAAGGAGTGTTGCACAGCTGCTATTTCCCGGAGAAAGAGTCAGTCGGCTGCTAAGGACACAAAGTGGGTCTTCAACCCAGCCCTACCAGCCCTGACATATCTCAGCTACCAACCCCACTCACTCGCCTCACAACCACGTCTGCAGTGGGTGCTACACTCAATTCTAGCGCCAGCGGGATGGGCCCGGAGGTGGAAGCATCTAGCGTGATGATGCTGGGTGTCACCACAGCCTGGGAGGCCAGCAGCGAATACAGCAGGCGGTTTGGCGTGGTGCTGATGTCCACAGTGGACGGCCGGCTCATGGGGCTCCAGCTTCCGTAGCCATCAGGATCATCTAGCACCCCGTCGGGTCCGGCCGCACTGTTTACCTTCTGCCGCAGCTCTTGGGGGGACGCGCCCTGACACGGCGGCAGGCAGGAACAGCCGGCAGCCTGAGCTGTGGCGAGCCAGACATGTGCTCAAGCATGCAGCCAAACGACCAGCGGCGGTCCAGGCAGCCAGCAACGTACCGGATGGCTCTCGAGGTAGAGTGCCACCACGCCTGTCACGTGTGGGGTGGCCATGGAGGTGCCCGTCTTGAGCTGGGTGGCGGTGTCAGACATATCGGTGGCGCTCAGCACAGAGACTCCCGGGCCGTGCACATCTACACAAGGACCCCTGCACTCAGTGTTTTGAAAGCCGTGTTGTGGTTGCAACTGCATGCACACAAGAGGCTACTGGACGTAGCAGCAGTGGGTGGTTGCGGCAATGCACCAACAGCATCAGCATCAAGAGCACCCAAGTAACTACCATACCCCTTCTGTATCGCTCTACCCACCAGTTGGACTTGGCCCATCGCCGATCCTGGTCATCTGCCGCAGCCACGCTGAGAACCCAGGGGCTGCTAGCAGGGGACATCAGGCAAGCATTCTCCTGGCTGTTGCCTGCCGCCACCACCATGGGGATCAGGTGATCCTCCACCAGCCGCCGTGCAGCCTCGTTCACTGCGGGGCTCATGTCGCCTGCCACACTCATGCTCACCACCGCAGGCTGGATGGCATTGCCTGCAATCCACTCAAATGCCTGTAACAGGTGGGGGTGCAAGATTTCAGATAAAATCGTCTGCTACACCAGAAACCAAGCCCTGCCCAGCCAGGCGCACTCACATCAAGGATGGCCGACACTTTGGCGCCGCCCGCGCAGTCCATGGCGCGCACCGCCCACAGCGTTACATTCTTCGCCACGCCGTAGCTTAGCCCGCCCACAGTGGCTGCCGTGTGCGTACCATGCCCATTGCAGTCGCTTGAATTGTTGTCTCCAAACACGGAGAAGCCGTGGCGGGCGCGCACAGCGGTGCCGCCTGCCTGCGAGCGGAACTCCTGGTGTGAGAAGCGGATGCCAGTGTCCAGCAGGTAGCTGTGGCAAGAGGAGGGACCAGAAGAGGGGAAGGGAATGCTGTCAGTAGGCTCGCCGCCACCTTTAATCACCGAGGTCTCTGCGGCAGACTTCCCAATCAGCGGGTTGTGCCAACACCAGCAACAGCGCAGTATTGCTGACTCGCAAGCTGCATATTGGTGAAGCCCGGTGGAGTCCCAACTGCCGGCACTCACACATTGACGCCGGTGCCGGTAGCATCATAATGATACAAGCGGTCCAGCGGCAGCGCCTGCTGATCAATGCGGTCCAGATTCCAGGAGGGGTTGCCCTGCTGCTGCTCAGGCAGCTGCCTCCGCCGCGCTGCAGCGGCCTTCTGCTGTGCTCGCCTGGCATCGGCCATAAGGTGGCGTCGGCGCCCCTGCCGCGCCGCCTCTGGCACCGCATCAGAATGCAGCCACTCAGGCTGAGGGTCGCCTGTGATGACAAAATCGGCATCCCGCTCTATGTGATCAATTGCGCCAGGGAAGGCCGCTAGAAGCGCTGACACGTCCCCTGGTGACAGCGTGCCTGCAGTTTGATGGCAAGCAACGGGCAGCGACAGAGGCTCAGCAGGCAGGGCAGGCTGACATTGGGTTGACCTAGCAGGCATCAAACCGAGATGCTTCACCCTGCCACGATGCACGCACCTGCAAACCCGTTGAGCACTGCCGAGAAACGCTTGCGGCAGAGGCCACGGATGGCTGTCGCCGCCCTGCCGTTTCGGTGCTGCCCCTCCCCCTGCTGCTCGGCGCACAGCGCCATGACCTTTGAGGCATCAAAACCGCGCTTGAACACCACCACATAGTCCTGGGCGCTCTGCTGCTGCGCCGCTACCGCTGCCGGGGGTGGCAGGAAGGCAGCGCCCAGGCACAGCAACAGCAAGAAGGGGGGCGGGGGCGGCAGGGCGCCGCCGCGGCGTTGTTGGCCAGCCGCCATGCCCGATTGCGGAAATTCGCGCTGTATCCTTCCTCTCTTGGATCAACCGCAGCCTGGTTTGCCGACTCAGGCGGGGCGCGATGTGGGCGGTTGGGGTATGGGGAGGGCGTGCGGTGGCGGCCGCCAACCACCACCACCAATGAAGAGATGCAACAGCAGCCTGTAGGCGGAGTCCAAGGCAATCACCTCCTGGTAGTTGGCAGGAAAAGCCACGTCGGAGGAGCTCAACGCACCCAAAAGACCTCCCCTCCGCTCCACAATTCCATTTGCAATCTGGGTTTCGCCCTGCCGGCTCGCAGCGCCGAGATGGCGCTCCCAAGTCGGTTGTGGCTCCTCCTCTGGGTCGTTTGCCTGCAGGCGTGGCTGTCCCTGCAAGCCGATCTGAATCCAGGTACTACGGGGCCGCGCACACGGGCGGCCGCCGCGCCGCACCCCTCGCCCGCCGCCGGCGCCCTGCGGCGTCAGCTGGGGGGCATGTTTGGCGGCCAACCCATGTGCTGTGCTGCACACCCCTTCCCCCTGGCCTCCGCAGGCGAGGCGCTCCTACACTTCGCCTCCATGGCACGCGGCGTGAACCAAGAGGCGCTGGCCGATTGGAGCAGCGGCACCAACCCCTGCACTTGGACCGGTGTTACCTGCTCGGGCACGGCCGTCACTGCGCTGCACCTGCCCAGGGCAGGTCTTCAGGGTTCTCTTTCCCCTGAGCTGGCGCATCTCACCTCGCTGCAGCAAATGTAGGGGCATGCCGTGGGGTGGAGCCGGCTGCCTGAGCTCTGGAGTGCGGTGGCCGTGCATTGCATTGACCGGCACAATTTTGATGTTTGCCAACATCAGCATCGGCTTACCAATAGCGTGCTGTTGTGATTTCCCCACCGCAGCAACTTGGCTGGAAATGCATTGTTGGGGCGACTGCCCCCACGCTGGGCGCGACTGGCACGCCTGGAGCGTCTCTTCCTTGATGGCAATCAGCTCACTGGCCCGCTGCCACCCGCCTGGAACACGATGGAGAGCATCCAATACCTGTGAGCAGGAGCAGGAGCTGCACGGATGCCATCACGCACAGGGGGAAGAAGCGAGGCGGGCGCAGCAGCTTCTTTGTTTTTCAGAGGATCCGTGCAGTGATGGTGGCCACAGAAGCAGTGCAAACACACATTAAGACCTGCCTGCATCTATCCACATGCAGGAGTCTTTCGGGCAACGCGCTCAATGGCAGCCTACCGGTGGCCTGGTCCTCCATGGGCCGCCTCTTCCTGCTGAATCTGTCCAATAACCGTCTCAACGGCAGCCTGCCAGCGGCCTGGTCCCGCCAGCTCACCCTGGTCAGGCTGGCTCTGGCACGCAACGCGCTGAGCGGCAACTTGCCAAGAGAGTGGGGAGCGCTGCGCAGCTTGCTGCAGCTGGACCTCGGCAGTAATGCGCTGACTGGTGGGCTGCCACCCGACTGGGGCGCACTGCAGCAGGTCACCTCTCTGGACCTTTCCGGAAATAAGCTTGGCGGTGGGCTGCCCCCTGCCTGGGCTCGCCTGGGAAGCTTGCAGGTCCTCTCGCTTCAGGGCAACCAGCTGACAGGGGTGAGCCAAGCGGGAGGTCACAGGGAGGGACTTGAAAGCCAAGTACATGAGTGATCAATTCTTAGGTTTTAACGTGGGCATGCTGCACTTCCTTTGCATCGCAGGCGGTACCACCAGGGTGGAAGGCACTGGCCGATCGCTCCTTCCGCATCGCTCTGGGCGACAACTCACAGATGTGCGGCTCGGTGCCACCGATGCTGGCCCAGGCCGTCCTGGCAGCGGGGTCCAGCAGAAAGGGCTCGGGCCTGGCCAGCCCCTGCAGCTGGGAAGGCGATGCCACTGCGCTGCTAGCCTTCAAGAAAGGAGTGTCGGCGCAGCAGCCGCAGGGCGCCCTGATCGACTGGCTGCCGGAGGCCAACCCCTGCTCAGCAGGCGAGTGGTCGGGGGTTGGCTGCCGCGATGGGAGGGTCGTCATTCTCAACCTGACCAATGCGGGCCTCAAGATTTCCACGCTGGAGCCGCTGAGCACCCTGGCTGCACTAGAGAAGGTGCTGCTGGCAGGGAACAACGCAGCAAACGTCAGCCTGCCAGCCTCCTGGGCTCGCCTGGGGCACCTGGCAGTGGCAGACCTGTCTAGCACCGGGGTGGCAGGCAGTCTGCCGCCCATCTGGTCTCAGATGCACAGCCTCAAGCAACTGCTCCTAAGCGGCAATAGCCTGAACGGCACGTTGCCTGCTAGCTGGGCAGCGCTGCATGACCTCGAAACGCTGTGAGTATGCTTGGGCTGCTGTTTCCTTGGCTTTACCTGCATGGGCCTTGCTGAAGGGCGCTTTTGCTGCTGCGCCTCTCTCTGTGAGTCCCATTTCCCCAAAATGCCCTTCCCAATGCATGTAGCAACCTGGCCCGGAATGCGTTAAGCGGCAGCATGCCCCCAGAGTGGGCTGCGCTATCTTCGCTGGCCACGCTGGATGCCTCCAGCAACTACTTATCGGGCGCTCTTCCTGACACCTGGAAGGATTTGGTCAGCCTGGAGGAGCTGCAGCTGGCCAGTAACAACTTGGCGGTGAGCGAGGGCTTGGTCGTACATTGAGAACGGTGCTGGTGCTGGCACCTGAAAGTGGGCCAACTGCCCTCTCCTAAGGAATGACTGCGATGCATTGTGATGTAGGGCGCCATTCCTGCTTCCTGGGCCCGGCTACCCTCGCTGACAGCGCTCAACCTGGGCAGCAACATGGGGGTATGTGGCGGGGAGCCAGAGTGGCGAGCAGGCACAAGGGTGCATACCGAGGCCACCAACATTGATCAGAGCTGCATCATGGTCAGCACGAGTGGCACGATGGCTGGTGTGGTGCTGGGTGAGTGGGGTGCCAGCAGCAGCGTAATGCGCTTTGGAACTAGAAGGAGTTTGCCTGCCTACTGGTGTGACCCCCGCTGTGCCACGCTCTGCTCGCAGGCGTGTCATTAACCCTCACCCTGGCTAGCCTGGCGGCCGTGGGGGCCATGCTGGTGTACGTGCGGAGCCAGCGGAGGCAGCTGCAGCTGCTGCAGCGTGAGCGCAGCTCGGCAAGCTTCTCCTCCCTGCATGGCGGAGCAGGGGTTGGCAGTGTCAAGCTGGCCTCGCTACAGACATTCTCTCTGGCGGCAAAGGAGCCGCATAAGACGCATGCTGCGGAGCAGCATGGCAAAGCAGCCATGCTTTCAATTCCCAACCCCTGGGATGACGAGCATGCTGGGTACATCCAGGTGAGAGAGATAGGGCGTACCCTCAGAGCAAGCCGCAGCCAGTCAGCAGCTGTGAACATTTCCTGGAATTGGCTCGACGTGCGTATCTCTGCTGATGGTGCAGGTGCCCCTGGCCACGCCGCACAGCGGCATGCCATCTGGCCTACCTTCTGTCATGGTGTCGCCCACCCCTCCCTCCGCCCCCACCCAGGAGCAGGAGCACTGCTCACCATCGCCAGGGTCTGGCATGCCCTCACCAGAGCGCCGCATGTGGCAGGTGGCAGCACACGCAGTTGATCGGGGAGTGGACCTCACAGCTCGACGCGCTCGGCAGAAACGCCTCTTCCGCTCCCGCTCGGAGGCGCCCAACACGTTGACAGATGCCGCCAGTCTTGCTGGGTCGCAGCAGGGCCAGCAGCAACAGCATGGTGGGGGTCGGGTGGCACCTGGCTGGAGCCAGGACGACGGAGACCTGGACATGCTGCGGGTGCACAGCCGCCTGGCATTGCTGCCCTCCAACGGCAGCATGGTGTGAATCGTCACTAGACAGCGTACAAATCCGAACAACCCGAACCCATGACTTTTTTAAAATTGATCGATCACTGAGGTCCTCCACATTCTGATGGTGCTAAATTATCAGTGCCATCTACAATTATCAGTGCCACTTCAATAAAGGGGACAGCGGCGGCGGCGGCGTGCCCTGCTGGCGGCGACGAGGTGGCAACGGAACCCAGATGCATGAAACCTCGTTGGAAAGTGTCTCTTGATGGCATAAACGCTTTTTCATGTCGAATGGCCCCAGTGTTGGGCAGGGCCAACAACACTGATGTGGGCGCCCTGGGCGGGGCTGTGCCTGCTGGCACTGTTGCTGCAAACTGGAGCCAGATGCCCAGCCCGAAGGAGCACAATGCAGGGGGAAACGGGTTGTTCATTGCTGGACACCAGTGAGCGGGCTAAGGGCCCGTTTGGCTTGGAACTGTCGCGTGAAACGGGGCTGTAGCAACCCTGTCATGCAAAGCTGCCCATCGGGAGTGCCGCCTGGCCACCCACGGACCCCGCCGAGCCGCCGCTCCCCCGTCTGGCACGCTTTTGAGCTTGCCATGCGTGTGCTCCCCCGCCGCCTTTGTAGGCGTGCCGGTGCCCAAGACGGCCAAGCATTTTACCAAGCTGAAGGCACAGGGCAGCATACCGCCCCGCATTGACAAGTACCTGTGGCTCCGGGACGACGCCCGCAACGACAGCGCGGTGCTGTCGCACCTGCAGGCAAGCCGCCTGGCTCTTGGGCCAGCTTGGGCTTACACAAAACCTGGTTGGCAGTCCCATTGGCTGCTGTGGAACCTGCATCCTGACATGTCGCTTGCCCCGCCGGATGCCTGCAGGAGGAGAATGCGTATGCGGAGGCCGTGCTGGCGCCCACCCTGCCGCTGCAGCAGTTGCTGCTGGAAGAGATGCTGGCACGCATACCGCAGGAGGAGAGCAGCGTCCCACAGCGGCAGGGACGGCACTGGTGGCTATACAGCGTGCATCGTGCTGGGATGCAGTATCGTCGCTATTGCCGCCGCCGCATCGACGACCCGCAGGCCTTGCCCAGCGAGTTTGATACCATGAACCTGTCTCAGCCAGAGGTGGTGCTGCTGGACCAAGATGAGCTGGCGGGTGCGCCCTGCACACACATGATAAACACCCAAACACCGGTCGGGGCAGGAGCTTCATGCATGTTGGTTTGCTTGTGTGCATCTCTGCCCCTACTCCTCTGCCTGTGCGATGTGATGCCCCTGCAGCTGGCCACAGCTTTTTCGACATGGCCGGCCCCAGCTTCAGCCCTGATGAGCACCTGGTTGCCTACGGGGTGGACACCGCAGGCAGCGAGGTCTACACGCTGTGAGTCATGTGCTGCTGCAGGTGCTGGATGGTCTGGCCTGCCAAGTTTGCGCTGGGCTGTGCCAAACTCATGCTGTATTGCTGCCCGCTCTTGCAGGTTTGTGCGCAACCTAACAAGTGGCCATGTGCTTGTGGCGGGCAGCAATGATGCATACACGCCCGAATTCAGGTGCACAGGGGTATGACCGTTGCCACTCAGTCCATGCGGTGCATGCTACGTGCACCAACAGGTTTGTGCTTCCGCTGATTTGTTGCTCCAGGATGTGTGCCGGGGACTTTGTGTTCCTGGACAACCGCCAAATTCTCTTTACGACATTGACTGAAGACACACACAGGCCTGACAAGGTGAGGGCTACGTGCGCAGAGCTGTGCTGCAGCCTGTGGAGCCGCCTGCCGCGACCCTGCCAGGTGCCATAGGTTTCTGCCGGGGGGTAGCTATCCCCAGCGTGGGGGGATGGGCTCCTTTGCAGGTGTGGCTCTTTCACCTCTGGAGTACACCTACCAAGGCAGGCCGCACAGACAGCCACCGTCGAGTTGTGCGCTACGTGCCCCGACTGCTGTATCAGGAGAAGGACGAGGCCTTCCACCTCGGCTTGTGGCGATCCCGCTCAGGTGCGCACGGCGTCACAGGTTGGGGAGGCTGCCTCGCTGCACCAACTTGTGGTGGCCACACTGCGCACCTTCTGCTGACGCAAGCCTCGCCCTGCTGTATCCCACGCACTTCAGATTCCATCGTCTACCTGCGTGGCAGCTCAGACACCACACACTACCTGTACTACATGTCAACCAACAGCAGTGGTGATGATGCCAACTTTACAATACTTGCTCCCAAGGTGATATTGTGTTTCCTCCTCCTGCGGCGCCGGCTGTCGCCTCCTTTCTGCACAGCGATGCTGAAGGGTGGTCCTGCCTTGTGGGCCTGCCATGCTGCTGCTGTTGGTGCTGCCGCAGGTGCACGAACATGAGTACATGGTTCGTGATGGCAACGGCTTCCTCTACGCCGTGATTGGTACGCCAGAGGAGCGTAATGGGCAGCTGGTCGTGGTCGAGCTCGGGCCCAATGCATTGTTGAATGCCACTGCCGACAGCAGAGGCCGGCGGCGGCCCTCCAACAACAGCGAGGGCAGCAGCAGCAGCAGCAGCGGCAAAAGTGCCGGCGGCAGCGACGGTAGCAGCAGCGGAGAAAGCAGCAGCGAGCACACCGGGGGCAACGCTGCCAGCTCCTCTTACTGGGCTCTGTTGCAGCCGCACAGCAGGACGGTGGAGATTGTCGATCTCGCAGGTTGGTGCCATGCATTTGGCTGCCGCTGCTCCTAACAGCGAGGCCTTGCTTATCCTTGGGGTGTGTTCCCGTTATTTCCTGGCGTGCAGTGAGCAGCAGGTGGCTGGCTGTGCTAGAACGTAAGAACGGGACCCTAGCAGCGACGGCCTACCCTCTGCCAGCCGATGGTAGGCAGGGCAGCTGAATGCCTAGCGCACCGGTGCTGCTGACGCCCATCGGATGTTGTGCGCCCTCTGGCTGCATCCCCGCTGCCTTTTTGCCGCGGCGGAGAGGCAAGGGCTGGCCGCCAGCCCAAGCGGCCCGCGTGCGCCTTCCCTTGACTGCCGGTGCAGGCAAGCCGCTGGCAGTGTTGCGCGACGGCAAGCAGTTTGCCTTTCAGGCGCCCTCCTACGCGCTTGAGTTTGGGGACCAAGGCCCCTTCTCCTCCCACCTGCTGCGTGTGCGCTACAGCAGCTTGACACATCCTAGCAGTGTCTACGATATCAACATGGAAACGGGTGAGAGCGGGCTTTGGGGTGTACGTGAGGCGGGGGCAACCATTCGGTGTGGTTCATCGTCGCAGCAGGGGCGGGCAGTGGATGCATGGGGGTCGCTGATTGTGGCCAGGGTGGTGTCAACTGGGCGCTGCACCTGAGGCAGACTGCCCGCATGCTTTGGGTGCAGGGAACCGGGTGTTGAAGCAGCAGCAGGAGGTGGTGGGGTACGACAGCAGCCAGTACCACTCGCGGCTGCTCTGGGCGAGCAGCACAGATGGCGCCCAAGTGCCCATTAGCCTAGTGTACCGTGGAGGTAAGCAGGCAGCTGCGCACGCCTCTGATTTGCTGCTTCTTGCCACAGGTGGCATCCTTGCGCACTGCTGCTGTCTTCCCATCTACCCCGCAGAGCTGGTGCGGCTGGATGGCAGCGACCCGCTGCTGCTGGAAGCTTATGGAGGTTATGGAGCCAGCTTCGACCCCGAGTTCTCAGGTGGAGGGGGATGAGAGAGTTTTGTGGGGGATCTAGCGCGTTCGTGCGGGATGCTTGCGCATGTGCCATGGGGCGGCCGCCTGCGCACCGCCCTCCACTACCGCCTGCCGTGGTGCAGGGTCGCAGCTCAGCCTGCTGGATCGCGGCTTCGTTTGCGCCATCGCCCATGTCAGGTGAGGTTGTTGAGCCCTCGCATGTGGCCTTCATTCGCCTAGATCCCATGTCCCTTCCTGCCGCCACCTCCTCCTTGCTCCCTCCCTGGCGAGGCAGAGGTGGCGGCGAGCTGGGCCGTTACTGGTACCAGGACGGCAAGCTGATGGCCAAGAACAATTCTTTTAATGACCTGGCGGCCGCAGCAGACTTCCTGATCAAGGTGTGCGCGTTCGTGAGCGAGGAACTTGATCTGATTGGAGGCAAAGCACACCCCCAGGTGCCATCTAACCAGTCAGTGCTCGCCATCCTTTCTCAACAGGCCAAGTATACCAGCGCTGACAAGATTAGTGCGTGGGGCCGCTCTGCGGGCGGTCTCACGGTCGCCGCCACGATCAATCGGCGCGCTAATCTGTTCAAGGCAAGCGCTGAGATTGGGGCCGGCGCACCTGCCCTGCACTCGGTGATGTTTTATGTCTATCCTGTCGATGACACCATGTCATCATTGATACTAGCGAAGTGCGATTGTTTGTGCATGCAGGCAGCGATTCTAGATGTGCCGTTCGTGGATGTCGTAACGACGATGTCAGGTGTGTCTACTATCTTGCGCTTGTGCATGGATCGGCAGCGGTTGTGCCGCCAGGTCATGACATTTCCTGCTTGTGTGTTGGCTTGCTTCGAAGATCCCAGCCTACCATTGACTGTGATTGAGGTCGAGGAATGGGGCTGCTGTGATGCTACGACTTCCCAAGCTGCATACGAAAACGTGCTCAGTTTCAGCCCATTGGACAACGTCGCGGCCCAGCCTTACCCCCATCTTCTGCTCACAGGCGGCGAGTTGATTTGCTGCTCCCCTTTGCCTGGCTTTGTCGTTGGTACAAGAGCTGCGGTCAGCTGTGCTGGTTGATCATTCCCTGGCCATGCCCTGGCAACGCTGCAGGCCTCAACGACCCTAGGGTCGGCTTCTGGGAGCCTGCCAAGATGGCGGCCAAGGTGAGGCTGCGCACGGCTTGCAGCGCTGTTCAGCAACCAATGAGAACCGGCCCTGTTGGGGAGCTGGCATTCATCCTCGTGTGTGCTGCCTATCACCCGTCCCCTACTTCGCTGCTGCGGTGCAGGTGCGCGAGCTGAAGACCAGTAATAGCCTAGTGCTGCTCGAAACCAACATGGCAGCTGGCCATTTTGCAAACAGCGGGCTGGAGGGCCGCCTCAAGGAGAGGGCATTCAAGTGGGTGCCTGGCCCGCCTGCCTGCCAGCTCGTGTCCCAGTTGCTGCGTCTTTCACGTCGTGTCACACAGGCCTGGCCTTGTGCTGATGCATGTGCGTGTGGTCGCAGGTTCGCCTTCCTGCTGCAAACCGTGGCGCCCTGTGCCACCATGGCCAACCAGCACACAGAGCTCGGTGCACGCTGTCGCGGCTGCTTTGCCGCGCTCGTGGCGGCAGCGACAACGATAGCACTGGTGTGCTGCTGTGTGTGTGCTGCGTGGCTGTGCCAATGATGCCATTCAGCAAAGGGCTGGATTGAGCTGCTGGTTGCTCCCCGCCGCATGTTGCTGATGGTCCATTTGGGTGCATCATATTGCCTCCGTCCCATGCGCTGCCCGGGCCCAACCACCATCTGTGCTGCAGGTCACGCTGGTCGTGGTGTTGCGCCCTTCATCGCGTATCGCACGCAAGTGGCGGCGGCTGGGCGGCTGGAGCCAGGCGGGGCGCCAGCAGATCAGCGACAACGACGAGGATGAAGGGGATGGCGGGGAGGGCTTCGACACGCGGCTCTACGCCGTCCACATGAGCGACAGCCAGGCAGCAGAAGCAGCAGACGCAGAGGCAGAGCAGCAACGGCAGGCACGGCAGCGGCAGCTGGAGCAGCAGGGGCTCAGCTTGACGTCGTATGATGCGGTGAGGAACACGGTCAGGGACAGGCTGCTGCCAATACCGTCTCCATCGTCGGCCGCGCTTCCTGTTGCGCCGCCCATGCGGCGGATCAGCGTTGGCACAGCAGCAGAGCCTTGCGCCGATGGCGTCATTGAGCTGTCACGGTTGAGCAAAAAAGCGGGTGGCGAACTGCCCATCAGCTCTTAAATCAGGTAACACGGCATGACGCGGCAGCGTGAGAGAAGGCATCAAGGTCGAACCAGTGCCGTTCAACGGCTTTTGCACAGATGATCTACAACAAGATCCATACAGTTTCATTCACAGCGAGGCATTCAGTGGGCATCCTGTGGCCGGTGCTGTTGAACTCAGACGACCCCCCCACCCCCCACCCCCGCATGCCGGCTTGCATCGCACAGCTACAGTATCAAAGGCGGTGACACCTCGGTCCAGAGTTCTTGAAAACACAGCACACGCAGCATGCACACCACTTGGGCGCGCCCCAGCCACCGCTATGGCGTTAGGTTACAGCCGACACCACTCTGATTGGAAACACACCACTTGGGCGCGCCCCAGCCACCGCTATGGCGTTAGGTTACAGCCGACACCACTCTGATTGGAAACGAGGTCATCTGCATCCCCAACCCAGGCACGATTCGGTTTCCTCCGAAACCACGACGAGCAGATGCCCCCGGGGGCCTATAGCTGCAGGCCTACATTCAGTATGGAAAGTTAGATAGCTGGGATGCGAGCTGCTGGCTTCCGCCTGTTGCGGCGGTGCCCGCCCGCCCGCCTTGTGCAGGCCGTCCGACAAGGCGGCTGCAGAAGCGCCGCCTGGCCTTCAGCCTGGTGGAAGAGATGGCGATGGAGGTGAACAGGGCGGAGGCTGCTTAAACGCACTGCTTCAGTCACGGATTCACTACTGTTCGCATCTGATGGGTGGGTGCCGCGGAGAGCGCCGCAGAGCGATGGACATGCTTGATGTGGCTTGCTTGTCGCGCAGAGCGACGCCCAGATTGACAGCAGCGAGGCTGAGGCCGCCCGCCGGCCTTTCAGGACAGGTGCCGATCTGCCCAGGACAGAGAGTTACCGCCTGTGTGGCTCGTACAGTATCGACTGCGGCATCGTTGTAACACACAAGCCCTGCATGCAGGTGGCGAGGTTGAGGGTTCACAGCTGACTGCGATGCACAGTCGCGACGCACTGGAGCTCACGGCCGATCGACTGGCCCATGCGGCTGACACGGCCGCTGTGCAGGGTCCTGTCGGCGACATGTAGAGCATGCTGGCTCCCAGGCGAAAATGATCAATCAATCGTGCTTGAATAATGTGCAAAGAGCTGCATACATGATGTACAGTAACTTCTAGGCACATGTTGACGTTAGCAGCCCGATACCGGCGATGGCGGAGCCCCGCCCTCTGGCATGTGACATTCTTGCTTGCACGGAGGTGACCTGCACACTCTCACTGGCTGGGGCCGATTCTAGCTTCTGTGCGCCGCCAGCTGCTGCACTCACAAAGTTGCTTGGTTGCTTCACCATGAGTGGACGCCTGCCCTCTGCGGAGCTGCTGGAGGAGATCTGTGTGCGGTTCATCCTCACGCTTCCCGCCACGGAGCTGGAGTGAGCGACTGGCAGGGCGCGCACGAGATGTTTGGTTCCTGCTGACTCGCTCTTACCCTTTTGCAGGTCCTTTGAAAGGCTCTTGTTCTCCATCGAGCAGGCCTGGTGGCACTATGAGGTGCGCAGGGAGTTGCCCGCCGCCGTTCGCCTCGCCACCGCCGTCGGCGCCCGCCTCGTGGCGCATCCAACCCACGTGCCGTGCACCTTTGCACAGGATCACGTGCGAGAGAAGCCTGAGAACACCAAGCTCAAGTCCCTGACACTGAAGGAGTTCACTGGGCTCATCTTTGAAAAGGTGCAGCTGCACCCATCGCAGCTTTGCAGCTTTGCGCCCGTCCCAGCGCCTGCCCGTTCCTTGTTCCCACTCTGCTGCCGCGCCGTTTTTTGATCAGGTTCCAGGGCTGCAACCGTTCAAGGCAAGCCTGGAAGAGATTTATGACGACTTTAACAAGTACAAGCGCACGGTGCCTGTCAGGTACATGTGCGGTGTGTGTGCATCAAGGTTGGGGCCGCAGATGGTGGGGTTCATTCATCGGAGACCATCCTGTCTGCCTGCTCAAGCAGGGGGGCCATTTTGCTGGACCCCGACATGACCAAGTGCTTGCTGGTACGGGGGTACAAGAAGGACGCAGGGTGGGGCTTCCCGCGCGGAAAGCTGTCTAAGGATGAGACGGACGCGCAATGCGCTGCACGCGAGGTGGGTGCGCTGTCGAGGTTCTTCGCGCTGGTTGGGCTGGGCCTGGCTGGTCAGCTTGCAACATGGCAGGGGCCAGCAAGCTGGAACGGAGTCGCTTGTTTGCAACTGTCACGCCTATCCTCCACCCTATCGCACAACGTACGCACTGCGCTTGGCTTGCTCTGCAGGTGTTGGAGGAGACGGGTCTAGACATCACCGGCCTGCTGCAGGAGCAGGATTACATTGATGCGCAGCTAGGGGACCAGGACACGCGACTGTTCATTGTGGAGGTGAGCATGTTGTATTGCTATGCAATATGTGTGTTTGTCGTATAATTTGAAACATGGCTAGACACACACGACAAGTCCGCTCGCCAGCTTACTGCGCGGGTGTGCCTGTGCTTCCGTCTGCCGTGTGTGGTGATGCTGCTCCGCCAGGCTCCGACTACCCCGCCCGCCCACTGTAAACCTTGCCTGCTGCCTGCAGGATGTGCCAGAGACCACACACTTTGCGCCGCACGTGCGATATGAGATTGGCGCCTTTGGCTGGTACCATATCGACCACTTGCCCGCCAGCTACGACGAGAGCAAGCAGGTGAGCAGGAGTGGCTGGCAGACAGCGGGGGCACAGCTGCCCCGTCCACATGCGCTGCCCACGGGCGGGCATGCTGGCTGTGTGGCCTGCAGGCATTTGTGAATGAGCAGGGGGGGCGACATAAATTCTTCAATGTCTGGCCCTATGTCAAACCGCTTCGATCATGGATCAGGTCTAGTTGCCGCGGTGCCTCGGTCCGCTGGCAGAATCTTCATGCACGGCACCTTGCTTTGCTGCATGCCCAGGTGGTGGGTGTGCTTTGTGCCCTGACGTTTGCTGCCTGCTCTCGGGGCTGCACTCTGTGACTGCAGGAAGCGGCGGCAGCGAGGAGGGAACAGGCAGAGCAGCAGGCAGGCGGCAATTCCGACACCGTCGCCAGTGGCAGCACCAGCAGCAGCTTCCTCGTCAGCAGCTCCCTCCAACAGAGCAGCGCTGCCAGCAATGCATGCAGCTGCAGGACCAGCCGCAGGACCAGCAGCAGAAGCAGTAGCATTAGGACCAGCAGCCGGGGCAAGAGGGGCAAGTATGCCACTGGGCAAGGCATTTCTGCATTTCAAATTTGACCGAAGCCAGATATTGCGCCACCTGCAGTTTGCCACTTGAGAGACTCGCGCGACACCTCTGCTTCTGGAAAAAGGGTTACAACATGCAAATTAGAGCGCTTCAGCTCACTGAGTGATTCTGACAGAGAAACCAGGGTGTGGCTCATATGAGCCCGAGTGAAATGGGGGATGGGGTGCTGCCTGTTGGTCATTAGATGGACGATTGAGCAGAATGCAGCAACGATTGCATGACAGGCAGCAGACCAGTGGCTGCGGTCGCCGTACAAGAAAACTGCGATGCGATTTGTGTGTGCATAGGCCGGGCGGGAAAACTAGAACCCGGTACAAAGGAAAGGGACTGGGAGGGAAGAAAAGCAGAGGGCAGGCGCTGAAAAGTACATGAGGCGGGGTGGGCCACAATTGCCAGTGGAGCCGAGGCAGCGCTGGCGCCGTGCGCGAGTAGGCAATCACACTGGCGCTGGCCTAGTTTGCTGGCGGCATCAGGTGATGGACTTGCAGCAGATTGTTGATCACGCCCCGGCCCGTGGTCCCCTCCAGCAGCAAGATGAGCACGAGGGCCAGCATGGCTATGCGGCCATTCCACGTCTCCGCGCTCTTGGTCCAACCCCACTTCCACATCAACACGGGCGGGGGCAGCGCCTTGCGGTCACGGTCATACGTTTCCAGCAGCGCGTCCACCTCGCCTGCAGGCAGGGGAAGGGAGAGACAGCAAAGACGGGTAAGCATGCTGCGAGCAGATGTCAAAGCAGTGGGAAATGAGGAGCAAGGGGGAGTGGCAGGAATAGTCTGGGGCTGGAATGGATGGGCCTGAGAGAGAGCTTTGGAGGTTTGGGTGGGCCTGCATCGCAGGAGCAGCGGATGCGCATGCCAAGCGCAGAGCAACCACCCTGCCTGAGCAGCCTGTGGCCCCACTGCGGGCGCGGGCGTGCAGGATCACAGCGGCCCCTCTGTGTTGAACCGGGCCGCCAGCTGCAGGACCATGCTCAGCCAGCCCTGGCGCACACGGCGGTGTGCAGCACGCACACTGGCAGTGGCGCACAGTTCTGCAACAGGCAGGCAAGCAGACAGGGCCAACAGCAAGGGTGCGCGTATGCGACACGAACAAGCAGCAGCACGGCGCATTTGCGTCTTGGGCCTGGGACGGAGGAAGTCTTCCCTCCCATCTCCCTCAGAATCAGTCGCACTGGCCCTAGAACAACACCAGCAGCAGAGGCGGGGGAGCACCTCTGGCTGCAGCTTGGGCTGCAGCTTTTTGTTATTCTTGCACTCACCCAGCGGCACCAGCGAGTCGCTCGACGTCAGGGACGAGGTGATGGATGCACCAGCGGAGCGCTGCAGGGAGCCTACATAGGGCAGCGCCTCGGCAACCGCGTCCGCCAGGTCATCAATGAAGGTGGGATTGGTGTTCAGCGCCGGCACGCGCCCCCAGTGCTCAATGCCGCTCTCCTCTGCCAGCTCCCTGCTTGCAAAATGGCGCCACGACAAGGCAGGCGGGCACATGAAGGCGAGTGGTTGGGCAAGCAGGTAGCCGCCTAGGCCTGGCCGGCATGGCAGCAGCAGAGCTCGACAGCGCATAAGATGCGTGGAGTTGCGTTGCACTTCCACCCTGGATTCATGCGCCTATGTATGAATGCCTGCGACCGCACCTGTACTCGCAGTCAATCTCCTCCAGTGTCTCTATGTGCTCCGACACAAAGCTGATTGGCACCGCCAGCAGGCTGCGTACGCCACTGTTGGCCAGCTCCCTGCAGGTGGGAAGGTTAGGCGAAGGCCAGTCATCTCAACTTACGAGTGGAATTCCGACGAGGTGACTGTGCAGCTGCCAAGACCGATCCGGCTAGCCTGACCGGCTGCGCCGCTGCCCAACTGCGTCTTGACCCGGCGCCCTGCCCTCCTCCCTGCCCTCCCGTCCCACACCTGATCGAGTCGTCTGTGTATGGCTTGAGCCACTCCACGGGGCCCACACGCGACTGGTAGGCTAGGGTGTGGGAGTTGGCAACGCCGCGCCGCTGCAGCTCCGCCATCACCAGCTGCACGCACTCCTCCATCTCCTCCTTGTACGGGTCGCCTGCAGGATGGTGCAACAGGAGTAACCAGGGCGAGAGTGGAGGGCAGCAAGGTGGGTCCCACCGAGTTCTAGGCCATCAGGACTGCGAGCCAGCAAATAAACCGCACCCTTCCCAGCCGACCCCACCCCAAGCCCAGCCCCACTGTCGCCTCCCCACTGCCACTCACCCTCCTCAATGTATGATACCGGCACGCCGTGGGCAGAGAAGAAGATCTCCACCTCGTCCAGCTGGTCCTGCGGAAAGGCCCCCGACGTCAGCTCTGCCACGATCAGATCTGCCATGGCGCGCACGTAGCCGGGGCGTTGGTACCAGGAGGGGATGACCACGTGCTTGACCTGTTCCGGATGTAAAGGATGGGAAGGGTCAGGGCGCATGCGTTGGGAGAAAGGTCAGGTCAGGGCGGGTGAGCCATAGAGGAAGCCAGGCGCATCCAGCGGTAGCGTGCCAGCCAACAGCACCCTGGTGCGGTGCAAATCCCCGGTGGTCTCCCCCTGCTGCACACAGCCACCCACATGCAGCTGACAGCACGCACCCGCGTGAGCACGGGATCCTCCTTGAGCAGCCGCTCCAGCAGGCGCAGGCTGCTGCCGCTGGTGGAGACGGAGAACTGGGGGTAGAGGGGCAACACCACCAGCTGCGTGATGCCGTCGCGCTTCACCGCCGCCATCGCCTCCTCTGCAGCAAAACGGGCCACCGGGGCAGGTCGACGAACGGCACAATCGATTCACAGGTCAGGGCAGCAGCGGCAGTCAGTAGCAACAGCCCCTAAGTATCCCTCCAACCACACCCACAGGCTGCGCACGACCGGCACACACCTGTGAAGGGAAACCAGTAGCGCATGGCCACATAGGTATGCGCGTTGATGCCCTTGGCGCACAGGCTGTCGCGCAGCGCAGCTGCCTGCTCCTCAGTGATGCGGCGCAGCGGCGAGCCCCCACCAATGGACTCGTAGCCCTCGCGGCTCTTGGGCGCGCGCAGCGTAGACACGAGCTGCGCGATGGTGGGCTGCAGGAACTGGACCGGCGACGGCAGGCGGATGATGTCTGGGTCCGCAAACAGGTTGTACAGGAAGGGTTGCACGTCCTCCAGGCTGTCGGGGCCGCCCAGGTTGAGCAGCAGCACGCCTACGCGCTCCTGCCCCACCGCGCCGCCTGGCGCCAGGGCGCCGGCAGCGCCGGCCGCCGCCGTCGTCGCCCCGTCCACCGTGCTGCTGCCCTGCTCAAAGAAAGGCGGCGATGTTGCGGCCTGCAGGCGCAGCCCTCGTCTGGCCTGCTGCTGCTGCTGCTGCTCGGAGTGCCCCTGCGCCCATCTGCTGCTGGTGCTGCTGCTGCAGTGCGGCGCCCTCCACCTGCATTGGCACCAGCAGCCAGTTTAAAATTGCTGGTTGGGCGGCCAATTGGTCTGGCAGGCTGCTGCGGGCAGGTGCACGCACCTGCACGGGCGCCGGTGAGGGGCGGGGGGCGGGCCGCGGCCGCTTGTGGAGACCTGGCAGTCGGGCGCCCTTGTGGAGGGCATTGCTGCCCTCTGCCCGATGCCAGCGCTTGTGATTGGCTGGGCTTTCCCCCACACAAAAGAGACTCTCGGTCGAGTGGAGGATGTAGTTTGCGAGCGCAGAGTGATGGGCAGTGGAAGCGCACGACTTTCACCCACGCCACGGCGATGCCCGCCTGGCACGGCTGTGTTGGCCAAAACTACCTCCCATCGATCCCGGGGCCGGATTTAGAATTCTGTGCCGTTTGAGGGTCGCCACGGGTCTGCGTTCTGCCATCGGCAGGGGCTACCGTGGGGGTTACCGTGGGGGCTACGGCTGGCGACCTTTGTTATTGACTACGCACTGAAGGTCAGACCACGCACGAACATGCCATGCAACAGGGACCTCACGTGCCATCAGCAGATGTGCGCCGGCGCAAGATGGCGACCTTGCATTGTGCAGGCAAGGTGGCAGGCGACATGGCTGAGCCACACAGAGCTCTTCGTCATGAGCATGATGAGGATGGGAGCCACACAGAGCATGCTGTGCCCCGCTTAATGATAGTTCCCCACCGACACACCAAGGTGCGCCCCACACCCCAAAGCACGCTGTCCCGCTGCGGCTCGCGCTCTGCTGAACCGCCTTGGCCGCCAGCCCGCAGATTATCCACCTCATTCGTCATGGCCAAGGTGCGCTGCCAGCTGCACGGGGGCAGGCCGCGTTGCTGGCCATCTGGTTCGCCTCAATGCCCTTGGTATGAGCAGCCCACTGCTGTCCAGTGTTGAGTTGCAGGCTATCACAATGTGGCAGGGCATGCAAATCCTGAGGCTTACAAGTCCATAGATTTCATGGACGCTCATTTGACGCCCTATGGCTGGGCCCAGGCGCGAAAGCTGAACAGTCACATCAAGCAGCTGGGCAGCCGATTCCGTGCTGATGCCATCATCGTGTCCCCGCTGATGAGAACGCTTGAAACAGCTGCGGGAGTGTTCGGCTCGGGGCTCTGGCAAGAGGACGACCTGCCGCCGCCGTTGATGCTGCGGCAGGTGTGCCGGGGTTGCAATGCTGAGGTGTTCTGCAATGCACATCACAGCAAGCGGGCTCCTGTTGACGCCTAGTTTTCATTTCTTGCCTGCAGTCGGAGGTACCTGGCAAGCGGGCGGCACAAGAGGCCATTAGCGCCGCTGGGTGCCCGCCCCTTATTGCTTGGGAGGGATGTAGGTGATCTAGAGGCATCTGGGTGGCGGGAGGAAGGCAGCGAAATCAAAAGGCGGGCTCTTCATCCCCTCGGTGTGCCTGCTGCGGCTTTGCCCTGCTCTGCAGAGAGCATCTGGGGCAGCACCCCTGTGATAAGCGGCGGCCAATCAGGGAGATTGCGCCCCGCTTCCCCGCGGTGGATTTCTCGCTGGTGAGTTGCATCTTAATGGGGACACTGCGTTAGCAGGCGCAGATGCCAGCGACATGTTTCCCGCCGTGCTCTGGCCGCCATGCCTGATCTAGCCTGGCTGCCTGGGTGCAGATAGGCAGCGATGAGGATGTCCTCTGGCAGTCGGCAAACTGGCGAGAGAGCCATGAGGAGATCAGGCGACGGGGCGTGAAGTTAATGCATGTGAGTGCCGCTGCCGCTCCTGATGCTTGTGAAGGGGTGCAGGGCGGCCTGTGAGCAGAGCACCCTTCACCGCAGTTCTTGATGGCACGCCCCGAGCACGTGCTGGCGGTCGTGAGCCACAGCGGCTTTTTGTTCAACTGCCTCTCCTGCTTTGGCGGGAACTTTGCGGGGACGGCAATGATGGAGCTGCACAAGTGGTCCGCTGCTGCTGCTGCTGCTGCTTGCCATCGCCCACCCATCATGCGGCGCCCACTCATGCCCACCCCGGCTTGTGCAGTGGCTGCATCAGCGGCCTGAGTCACAACTTGCTGTCGTCAGCCACAGCTCATTCCTCTTCTTTATGATGAGCGCCTTTGGTCACGCAGCAGCGCCCAGTGTGCAAAGCGAGCTACACAAGTGGTGTGGCCCTCCTGCCGTCCTCTTTCCTCTTTGCACTACCCTGGCAATTGCCCGCATTGCCCCTCTGCACAAACTGCATGGCTGGAATGCATCAGGACCTGCAGTAATGCCCCCCCAAACAACCTGATTGCCACCCCCCCTCCAGGTTTGAAACATGTGAACTGAGGACAGTGGTGCTGGCGGACGAGGGCGGAGCGCACGGGCACGCCGACATGCTGCACTTTCCCGGAGAGCACAGCGTCAACATGGAGGAGGAGAGCTGAAGCTGTGACGGTGGCCAATTTGCCAGCAGAACGGCTGACTCGGGCACTTGCCACAGTGGGAGAGCTCAGAGTTTCAAAGCGGCACCAGGGATCTTGTCAGTCAAGTCGTCACATACAAAAGGACAAGACGGAGCAATGATAATTGACAGCAAAAGTCGGTAGTGGGATTCACTCCTCGCCAAGCTCCTCCTCGCCCTTTTGCAGCTTGGGGTGGGTCTCCACCTGCACACAAGAGGTGGGCTGCCCTAGAAAGGTTACGCGTGATGCCTTGATGCATCATCGCTGTCGGCGGCAAGCGGTCGGGCACAGATAGCCAGCAGGACAGATTGCAAGAACAGTTGCGAACACAGTGACAAGAATGATCAGGGGTGCTTGGCCAAGGCGGCTGCAAGCCGGTCAGGCTAACGAAGCCTTACGAGGAGCAACCGGCCCTCCAGCTTGCTGACGCGGTTGGTGAGGAATGCCGCATAGGCCGTCAACACCAGCAAAATAAACCCAATCAGGCAGAACCTGACGGGGCATTCCAAGAGCATTCGGTCACACAAATTGAAATGATGACTCACACACACAAGCAAGCAGCGTGAGGTCGTGGCAGCGGCAGCGCGGACGAAGGGCTGCCGGCGGCGGGCAGACAGCGCAGGGAAGCAGGCACCGGCGTCCGCTCACCCAATGATCAAGCCAGCCTCCTCCTCCGGCGTGAACCCGTCGTTCTGCAGCAGCGCCCTCATGGTGGTGGTGCCACGCTGCTCGCGTTGGAGGAGTTTTGCCTCCCGCCCGCCAGCGTGTGGGCGCCCCGAGCGTTAATGCCCTGCGCGCAGGATGCTGCCTGTGTCTATGCTAGATGCTGTGCCAGCGGGGAGCGCGGCGGGCGGCAGGTGTGGAGTCCAGATGCTGGCAGGCCGTCCATTGCTTTGCCTTTAGTTTGCAATATCGACGACCAGACAAAACCCATCATGCCCCTCCTGCCCCAATCACAGGCCCGCCACAGGGACCAGAGGCACGAGTCTGCCGCCGCTCCGCCCGGGGCCCGAGGGGGCATTAAATATGCTGCTGCGCAGGAGCCACTGACACTGCCGCAGGTCATAATCTTGGTGCCACAAGCTGTTGAGGCCCTCGCTCACCGATCGCAAATGGCGCAGTCGGAGTCGGAAGGCTGCCAGTGGCAGGCGTCAAGCTAGGGCGGCGCACCCACAGTTCTGGCGCACCGGCGCCGAGCGCACATTGAGCAGCAGCTCGTCTGTCAGGCAGTGGCAGTGTCAAGCAGCGCGGGGTTGGGCGCACTGGCCGCCAAGTGCGTCGCACGTCGCACGCCATGTCCGACATGCGCGAGTCGCCGCCCTGGCGGCAGCCGGCAGCCGCCTTTTGCAGCAACTTCCGACGAGTACGCCTCGTTCCAGGGGAATATGTGCGCAATCAGGGCCAAATAAACGCCCCAGGGCGGGGCAGGGTTTTTTTTGGTGAGGGGCGGGCTCACCTGCCTCCCAGCTGCCCGGCCACTGCAGATGTCGAGACGTTAAGCGCAGCATGGGAGCCTCTTTGTCGTTTCCTGGAGCTTGATATCATGCCGCGGCACCCGCGCCCTCCAGCTCAGCGGCTTGCAGACCACGCGAATCACCGGATCACGCTGCCATTGTCCCAACCCTTTAGGGCAGCGTGGCGCGGTATGAGGACCTCGTGCAAGGCAGCCTGATGTCAGCGGGGGAGGAGGGGGGAGGCAGGATGCAGGAGGCGGTAGCTTGGTTGCTCAAGTCAAGACAGTTTTGCCAGGAGGCCAGCAAGACATCTGGCGCGCCGCCGCCGCTGCAGCTGCTTCCATCGGCGCCGGTGCTCGCCAACCCCGCCTGGAGAACGGCGCCCTCCTTTGCAGCAGCAGCGGCGCTGCTGGTGCCGCCTTGCGAGGGTGCCGTGGGGGCTGCCAGCAATGGCGTGCGCGTGCCGTGCCCAGCAGACCGGGCGGCAGCAGCAGACGTTGCGCAGCGGGCGGGCTGGTTTAGCCGCGTGCTATTTGCAGCAGGCAGTCGCGATTTATTTTTTGTGTACTCCACGCCCTATGAGCACTTACAAGGCGTGCGCCATCGGCGGCGTCAGCTGTTGCCCCTTGTACTGAACCTCGTGGCGCAGCAGGATGCCAGCACCTGCGCCAGCAGTGGCGAAGCGGTGGCGCCGCTGGCCGAGCAGCAAGAACAGAAGGCGGTGGCCGTGTTCAGAGAGATAGCGGCAGACCAGCGACCGGGGGGCCTGCGCCTGCTGGGCTGGATGCTGTCGCATGTGTTCAGGTGGGATTTTGAGCTTGAATACCTCTTTGTTCCCCAAGCACTTGAGTAGTACCCCTGGTGACCATCCTTGCGTGCAGGTGGCTGTTCAACTCGGAGATGTATGTGGACTTGGTCAGCCTGGAGCGGCTGCGCCGCCTGCACTATCGACAGCCGCAGCTGCAGGACAACAGCCGCACCGGTGCAGCGGCAGTGGATGTGGCAGCAGGGCAGCCGGTGCAGCAGCAGCGTGCCTGCCTGATCTACATCCCCGCCCACAAGTCTCACCTCGACTACTTGATGCTGTCCTACATACTATGGGCTTGCGGGCTGCCCTGCCCTCACATCGTTGCAGGCGCCAACTTATCGCTGCCGATAGTTGGCAGGTAGGTGGGCTGCTCTGCGTTACTGCTGCTGCTCCTGCTCGGCAGTCGCTCGCAAACTCTGCTGATTTGCCTGGCTGACAACATGCTGTGAGTGGGTATCGCTGACTCGGCGTGACGCAAAACTTGCAGACTGTTGCGTGCCTGTGGCGCCTTCTTTATCCGGCGTACCAGCCGGGGCTCTGCGGATGCGCACCTCTACAAGTCGGTGCTGGCAGGTGAGCCTGGTGATGCTGCCAGCCGCGGAGCAGAAGGCTGGTCTGTGTCCTTTATCGTGGCCTTCCCTCCCCCCCACCCGCAGCCTATGTGCAAGCTCTGCTGGTGGCCGGTCATCACCTCGAGTTCTTCATTGAGGGCGGCAGGAGGTGCGGAATGTAGGATGCATGCTTGTGGTGGCTGTTGTTGTCTGGCAATACTGACGCCGCCATGGCCTCGCTTTCACCATTTGTAGTCGGGACGGGCGGGTGAACCCACCCAAGCTGGGCATGCTTCGCATGGTGGTGGACGCGGTGATGGCAGGGGATGTGGATAGGGTGAGTGGGGCGCCAGCCTGGATCGGTGTGTGTGCGTCTGCACCTGTGTTGGAGCTGCCTGCGTGTCTGTTATGCGCGAAACTAAATGAAATGACTTGATGCTGATGCCATTGGGCATGGGACGGGGGCGGAATACCTGCTGCCTGCAGCCGGTGTACTTGGTTCCAACCGCCATGAACGCCGACACATTCTTGGAGGAGCGGAGCCTGGCAGCGCAGCTGGCGGGAGCGCCCAAGAAAAGCGAGTCGCTGGCAGGGCTGGCCAGGTGCGGGTTGTTAGTGCGACGACTGGATTGGAGCAAGGTTGCAGATTGCAGACTTCGCATCCAGTCCCAACGTCCTGACGGTCTTCATCTGCCATGCTCACGGCCGCAGCACATGCTGGGGAATTGTGACCAAGGCAGCTCGAGTGCACTGGCGGCGCTACTTTCTGGGGTTTGGCGTGGGCGGCTATTGCGGGCGAGCTACGGTGGCATTTGGGCAGCCTATCAGTCTGCAGCAGTGGCTACAGGTGTGTGGCTAGCTGGGAAGCAAGCAACGCTTTTTTCCCCCAACCTAAAGCCAATTGCGTTGACGGCAGCCCTTTCGCTTGCCTCGTGGACGCTGCGCAGGACAATCGTGCAGACCTAGAAGCTGGCGGCAAAGCAGAGCGGGCGGCAGTGGCGGCGCTGGGCGAGCTGGTCACTGCCGGCATCCGCACCACATCGGCGCTGCCCACATCAGCACTGCTGCTGGGCGCGTTGTTTGCCGAGCAGCACAGCAATGCTCTGGCAGCGCCAGGAGGCAACACAATGCAGCAGTGCAATGGGTTGGTGAGCACCGGTATCCTAGACGCCACTTCAGCAGTAGCAGCAATCGCCAGCATGGACTGGTTGGCGGCACAGCTGAGGCATCAAGGTGCTTCTGTGGTGCAGCTACCACGTGATGTTGGTAGCGGCCAGCAGCAGCAGCTCCTGCTGCACCTGGCAAGCATGTTGCCATGCTGCTGCAGCGTCACTGCTCAGGCCAGTGGCAGCGTAGATCGGCAACAGCAGCCGGTGTTGCGGCTGGAACATGGCGTCGAGGCGGTGCTGCTGCAACACAATCGCCTCAACCAATTGTTGCCCTGGATGGGTGCTGAAGGGCTAGTGGTGGCAGCGCTACTAGCTGTGGCGGGCCGTCAGGGGCGGCCGAGCGTGTGCACAACAGAGCTACTCGACTCGGCTGCCTGGCTGCGATGCTTGTTGGCACCTGAAATCGACACAGGTTGGTCAAAGGCCTACATGGAGGGATTGGCATTGGTCCACAATGCAAGCACGTTGTCTGTGCCCTGGTTGCATAATCCACCTTGTCCATCCATCCCGCCCTTGTCTGTGCAGCTCTGGGGCCCACTGCCCTGGGCAGCGTCCGCGAGTTCCAGCCCGTGCTGCAGCGCCTGCTGGACAGCGGGGCGCTGGTGCAGCAGCCGGCACCCAGCAGATGCGTGCGGCTGGTGGGCGAGGGCGAGGGGCAGGACGACTGGCGCCGGGCCGCGCTGTTTGCGGCAGCGCTGCTGGCGCCCCTGCTTGCCTCCTACGTGGAGGCGCTTCGGGCTATGCAGGCCGCTCTGGCAAGCAGTGGCCCGGGCGGCAGCAGCAGCAAGGCGCTGTGCTCTGCGGCACAGACAAAGCTGCTGGCGCTAGCGACCACCACCGAGACTACTGGCGGCGGCAGCAGCACAAACAGCAGCAGCAGAACAGCCCGGCTGGTGGTGCCCTCGGTGGCCCTTGTGCAGGGCGCACTGAGGAGCTTTGCAGCAGTGGGCGTAATTGCAGCCATGCCTGCCGAAGAGTCTGTCGCGGCCCTAGAGCTGGCGGGTTCGGCACAGGCACCGCCAACAGCATCCCAGTCATCGGCGGCCTTTTCACCATGCTCAGCTGCTGCTGGTCAGTGTGACGCGGTGGATGAAGAGTGTTCTGTCGAGGTGCCCATGGCTTGCAATGACACCAGCAGCAGCAGCTCTGCGCGCTCGCCGCAGCGCCACTCGCTGGAACGGCGACGGCCCCCTCCTCAGCGCATTGCCAGCAGCGGCAGCGACGGGGAGGACCCGGCGTTGGCAGACAGCGTGGCAGCCAACTTGTGCTCCTTAGACGGTGGTGATGGCGGCGGCAGTGGCAGCCCCCCGGCAGCAGCGCTCACGGCGGCGGCGGCAGCAGCGGCAGCCGGTGATGCGCGCCAACGCTGGGTGCTGGCGCAGCCCGAGGCGGTGGTGTCCTCGCTGTCTTATCAAATTGAGGCTTTCATTTGCATCTGACCATTTCGTTGAGTGCATGTTGCACATGGTTATTCTGCTCGTTGCATCATTACGGGGAACATGGGCAGCAGTGCCGGAAGGCATCACCCGCCATCTAGATGCTGCTGGGTCTGCGGGCTGGCACCTCGTCGCACCGCATTCACGCTCCCGGGGTGGTGCACCGGGTGGGCTGCCACAAATTTGCCGCGGTTTTCTAGGTGCTGCAGTCCTAAGAGCACGTTTGCACTCGCCGGCTTGAGTTCTATCCCTGGTGCCTCTGCCGCTTGCTGCTGCTGCGCCGGCGGCGACTGCAGCTGCTGGCGATAGAACGGCGACTGTGTCCGCAGCACATGCACCTTGGTGTTGAAGGAGGCGACGCGGTGCAGGTCTGCAGGCATTGGAGAGGTTGAAGAGGTAGTTGGTGGCGAGGGTGGCGACAAGCAGAGGGTCCAAGTCCGTCTCTGGCTGCCCCCTCCCACCTTCGGAGCCGGACGCAGAATGCTGCAGGTCGCACTCGCCATCTGTGCTGTGCTCCGAAGAGGGAAGCAGCCGCTCCCGCATGTCACGAAACGCTTGCTGCCGCGGAGCGGCTAGGTTTGCCAGCGGGGGGCTGGGAATGGGCGGTTGCCGGCTGCAGCCCCAAAGCGTGTCATCCAAGCAGCCACAGCCTAGCAGCTGGCACAGAGTTCGGGCCAGCTCGCCGACGGCCCGAATACTCATTGAGTCTGCAACACGGGAGCGGGTGGGCGTCAGTGTAGCGGCGGCGAGCAGCAGCGCTGGGTTCCGTTGTTCCGCCCTACCTGGTGGTGCACTCCCTGTCTTCGGCAGCGACAGTGGATAGTGCAGCCTGCGGACCGAGTGGGCCAAGTCGGCCCAAGTCGTGGGGCCTGAAGCCGCCACGCTGCTCCCTGACGGTGCTGTACAACGCTGCGGCTCGCCCTTGCCGTCCCACTATGCCTGAGGCGCGCCGCAGGCACCACCTGAAAATGGACCGCGTTTAGCTATTCCCGAACGAGGAGGAGGAGATGCATCGAAGAAGAAGAAGAAGAATGACACACATGGGTGACTTTGGGGGGAGATGCGCCGAGACAGGCTGGCAGCGCGCCGCAGCGCGGTCAGCCCGCCGGACCCTCCCGCCCTGGCCTGGATCTACTGGTTGGTGCTGCATGAGTCCGACCAGCTTCTTGCGTGCATTCCTAACTAACTTTTTTTCTCGTGGTGTGTGCTGTAAACTTCTTGATCACCGCTTGGTGCCCTTGGCGGTCACTCTCCGCACTGGCGGACAGCCACAGAAGCGCGACACGTGTGGCTGACTTTGGTGGAGATGCGCCGGCAGGCTGGCAGCGCGCCGCCTTACTAATCCACCACGGTCAAGGGGTGCGGCAGGCCAGCAATGTCAGCCTGACATCAATCGGCGCATGCATGAGGCACTGCCTGCAGCCGCCTTCCAGCGGGGCGGGGCGGGTGGCGGTGCCAGCGCAACAAATTCCACGCTGCCGCCAGCACTCAATTCCAGAACCTCGCGCGCAGTCACCGCGGTGCGCTCACCTCTGCAGGCGTCTAAACAAATGTGTAGTGATCAGATAGTGTCTGAACGTATTGACAATCCCCTGCAATGAGCGGGGCTGCGGTGGCCGTGGAGGTGGTGGCCAGCCCCTCTGCTGGCAGGCGGGTGCTCGCGGGCCGGATGCCCGAGGCGTGCTGCGGGTCACCCCTCCAGACCTTGCTCTTCTCGGGCACCGCTACTGCACTGGGCAAGGGATCGGTTGATGAGGAGCTTCACATTCAGGGCAATAGGCAAGAGCTACAGCCGCCGCGATCGGCGCCGCCTTGCTTGGTCTACCTGCCGCTGCCGCCGCACTGCGCAGCACTGCCTCAGTTGGACCCCCACAGAAGCCCGTCCCCCCCGCCGCGTGTATCACGCAGTGTGGTGTGGACTGCGGGTGGCGTGCTGCGCAAGCAGCTGACCGTGCCAGCGCCCGTGCTGAAAGCGGCCTGGTGCATCTTCCAAAACACCGGCCCTGATGCAATCCTCTGCCTGCTGCAACTCGGTGTGCTGAGCGTGCACACCCAGGATGGCGACAGCCACACTATCCCACTGCCTGGCAGCTTCACGGGCCTGTGGCCACTACCGCAGGGGGTGCTGCTCACGGTGGGTGTGGCGGGCAGCTTGGTGCAGCTGCCTGGCCACTTCGATGCGCTTGCATTCCATGCCTTTGGGAGTGGTGTGGCAGTGTTTGCCTGCTTGGTTGCCTCATAGCCTCCGTCTTCGCTGCATTGGCTGTTTGACATGCAGGGCGCCGCGGCGCAGGGCCCCTGCATCCTCGCGCACCCGCTGGAGAACATCCAGGAGGTGCAGATGCAGCCGGCAGCAGCGGGGGCAGCAGCCAGTGGCAGCAGCAGTGGGTGGGACACGCAAGAGCAGGTGGTTTGGTCGGGTGTGGAGGTGCCCTACATCGTGACTCACAATACGGTGGGTGGGAAAGGGTGCTGGTGTAGTGGGAAGCGGGCATGATCGCAATCCGCAAGCACACAGCGGAGGCCAGATCTTGCGGCTTGTTTGCCAGCCTTGCTGCTCAAGTGCGCACCACGTGGCATGGCTGGCATCCCGCCCAACACCCTCGCTGCTGCCTCTTTTTGTTGCTGGATCGATGCATGCAGAGGCACCAGCGGCTGGCAGTGTGGAGCATTGGCACGCAGCAGGCACAGGGTTTTGTGGCGGTGACTCCCATGCGCTGGCCCGGAGGTGGCGCTCCGCTCACCCCTGGCACCCAGGCACCTGCTGGAATCGCCCCCCTGCCACCTGGAATGGCGGTGGAGACGAGCAGTGCCCAGCTGACGACACCCGTGCCACGCACAGTTGGAGGCGCTGGCGGTGGCACCTACAAGAAGTGAGCGCTGCTGCTGCGTGCTGTGAACAAGGGTGGGTGCGATAGGTTACAATGCTGGAAGCATGGGGGGTAGCAACAGGACAAATGAAGGGCAGCAGAAGAGGGTGCACGGCAGCAGGCGGTGCAGCAACGTCAGGGATAGCGGGGCGTGGCTCGCTACGCTTCTTCCTCCCTGTAGTCCTTGAGGGCCTCGTGGCTCTCCCAGCTGAGGTCCCCCTCTGCCACCAGGTCAATGTACTTCTGCAGCAGCAGCAGCGCGGGCGTTGGTGCAATGCAGGGTGGTTGGAGACGGGGAAAACAACCGTCTTGGTGGCCGAGGGCAGTGTTCCCCGACCATGCTGGCGCCGCGAAGTTGGGCGCCCGCGGGCCCAGCCTCCTTGCCTGCATCGCCTCCGCCTTGCTCATGCCCTTGAGAGCAATCCATGCATCCCATTTGGCTCGTGCCTCAAACTACACGGGATGGATGTTGGTTGGCCAAGGAATGGGGTGAGCAAGCGAAGCGACGGCAACAACGCTGGCGTCGGGAGGGCGCCACCGGTAGCGGGCCAGTCCCTGCTACCCTCGATCCCACCGTCCTCCACAAGTGCTGCTCAGCCCCACCTGCACGGCCCAGGGCTGCGGGGCAGTGCAGTCGCCCTCAGTCGCCTGCTTGAACAGCCCGTAAAACTTGAGCTTCTCGTCATTGCTGGTGCCCGCCTTTGGCGGGCCGTTCCTGATGAGCCAAACCGCCTTCTTGAACCGCTTCTCCAGTGGAGTGGCCATCGCAATGGGCGGCACCACTGCACAAAGCTAAAAGCTTCTGCTTTTCTAAGAAGGCACAAGCAACTGTTTTTCCCCTCAAATGCAGTCGCCAGAATCGTCCAGTGACAATGCCTCCTTGCCTGTCAGCACCATGTCAGCACCGGGCGGCAACAACCCCCACTGCTTTTGCCAACCCCCACTGCTTTTGCCGTCTTCGGTTGCTCACCTCTGTCCTGCAGGGCCAGCCTGAGGCTCCCCAACGGCTGCCTGTCTCCCATGGCCTTCCAGCCTGTCCCTCGCAGCGGCGTGACGCCGGTGCTGGGGGGTGGTGCGGGCGGGAGCAGCGCCCGACTGCTTCTGCCGTCACAGGAGCTGCCCATTACCTTTTCGCTGCTCTGGGAACAGCAGGTGGATGCAGGTGAGCTAAATATCGGCAAAGCTGCAGCAGCATTTTGATTATGGATTTGTGATTTTGCCTAACTGTGCCGTATGTAGGTGTCGGCAGCGAGCCGCTGGAGGGCCACCTGGCGACGGATGGCAGCGGCGACCTGCTGCTGTGCTTACTCAGCATAAAAGCCCAACGCCTGACAGCACTGCGCCTGCCGCTGCCAGCGGCGGCCGCAGCGGTGCGCCTGTCGGCTGGAAAACGCGTGGAGGTTGCCTTCAGCATGCCGGCAGTGGCTGCTGCAGCCGTCACTGCCGCGCTGCAATGCCACAGACAGGCAGGTGCACAGTCAGGGGTGTCGGCTCGCGACCTTCTGGTGCTGCAACCCAATGGCAGGCTGGCATTGTTTGTTGGCAGTCGCCACCTGTGCACGGTAGGCCTGCCAGGCGACAGCGGCCCAGCAGCTGTCTACGTACAGCTGCTGCGCCTAGGCGGCACTGGCGGCGGCAAAGGCGAGGAGCAGCAGTTGCCTGCCAACCATTCACAGCTGTCAGGCACCAAGCGGCCTGCATCTGCGGCCGAAGTGCGGTCAGGCGACTCGGATGGCGATGAGGGCGAGGGCGACCCTATGCTGGTTTCCCCCGCGCCCAGGCCAGTTTCCGCCCGCACCGCAGCCGGCAGGGCATTTGGTGACCTGCTGCCCGATGTGCGCTCGCTGGCAGATGCTCTGGAGCCACCGCCTGCGGTGGTGGGGCTGCAGGCAAGTGGTCAAATGCTACAGCGTGGTGCTGGTAGCAGGCAGCAATGGCAAAGGGGTACCTGGGAGCCGGCATTGTTGTGACGGGCAGCTGTGCAGGTCAACATGTTGTCCCTTGTTTTGTCGGCTGCAGAACGCCGTCGGTAACCGCGTCACCCTGATGCTGGAGGGTGGTAGCAGCATGCGTGTGTCGCTGCCTTTTGCCCCCACTGGACCGCTAGCCAAGGCAGCATTGGAAGCCCTGCATGCAGCACTACCCGGCGAGGCATGGTGGGCGCTATACTCGCGCTGGCTGTCCACCGAGGGTGCGCCTCCTGGCTGCTGCTGCCTGGCTTGTCGGCTCCTCAAAGCCATTGTCCCTGGCGCCGTCCTGCCACCATTGCCTCTGTAGGCTGAGCGCACGCCTGCTGCTTCCTTGCGGAATGCTGCCGCTTGCAGGTAGCCGCACAGGGGATGCACATCAACAATGGCAGGTTTTGGCGCAGGTTGTGCTGGCATGGGCAGCTAACCCTGCCTCCATCAGCAAGCACGACGACGCAGGCCTTCATCTCCGTCTCCCACGGCCATCAGGTTTCTGGTCCTGCTCCTGTTGCCCTTGTGTGCGGTGACCAATCTCCAACCATGTCTGGGCCACACAGGTGCTGACCTGTGGTTCTCCCTCTCCTCTGAATCTGAGGTCCCTCCTGCAGGCACCAGCTCAGGCACCACCACCACCACTGCTACACCTCAGCGCCAGCCCAGCCCGGCTATCCTGCCCCAGGCTGCGGGGGCCGAGGCCTGGCAGCAGCTGCTGCGGTCGAAGCACCATCATCGACATGGCATGCGCTTTGCCTGGGCTGAGAAAGGACAGGAGCCCCAGGAGCACCCCCCTGCACAGTTGCCTGGTGCTGCCCCTGAAGCAGCAGCGGCAGACGGCCGAGACGAGGTGTGGCGGGCTTTGCAGGCTCTGCACTCAGGTAGGCCTGTTCATTTGCTGCGCTGCCCAACAGTAAGGTGCCCCGGAGCCCCACCGCGCGCAACGCCATCACTCCCCATCAGCCTTCGTAACTCTGCTGGCCTCTCATCTTGCCTACTTCCCCCTGCAGTGTATGAGGACTGCAAGATGACCGTGCTGCGGTGGCAGCTGCTCCCTGTGCTGGGCCACGTGTTGCTGCAAGTGGCGGACTGCTGGGCGCTAGCGCATACTCTGACCACTACAGCAGGGACCTGGGTGTGCCAGCCGCCTCCACATCGCCTGCAGCTGCAGTACCCATAACTACAGCAGCAGCAGCAGCGGCGCCACCAGCTGACATGTTTCGGGCACTACAACAGCTTCTGCAGGGCCACCGCGATGCTAGCAGCATCAACATTGTGCCGATGCTGGTGCAGCAGCGTGTCGCCTGCGTGCAGCGCAGCATCGACTTAATGGCTGCCTACTCGCTGCTGGGTGACGCTGCAGCCTCCATCAGCGCCAGCTTTTCACTTGAAGCAACCCAGGTAGGATGCCCATGTCGGCTGAACAACCGCCGCCCAGCAGACCTGCCAAGTCAATGGGACATACATGTTGGAGCATTGTTGCAAATCGCAGATTACTGCGGCTTGCAATGCTTGACTGATCTGTTGCCTGCCTCTGCAGGCTGCAGATCTGCTAGTGGTGACAGCCCACCGCATTGTGCGCCTGTTGGTGCACCAGCATTGGACGCTGGCTGATCTTGACTCGCTGCCCTGGGGAGTGGCGCTCCCTCTACGTCAGGTGCATTTTGAAAGTCAACCTTGTCCGCTGCGCGACTGCATTTTTGGCATGCACTCGCTGTCCACCCAGCTGTTGTGCCTGCTCGGTTTTGCTCCGCTACAGGCAATCCAGCACTGCCGCAGCAACCCGCCCACAGACTGGCCCCAGGAGGCCTATGTGCTCATCGGTGTGTCTGGCGCTGGTTCCTAGATCGTGATGTATGCACCTGGTGTCGACGCAAATTGCAAACCATCACGCTTACAACTTATAACCTTGCACCCCCACTCAATGTTGTAGGACGCAACGACATTGCAGCCAGCATGGCAGCCGCGGAACAGGAGGCGCGGCCTGCCGAAGCGGCGGTCAGCAGCATTGTGAGCACTCCATTGGGCAAGATGGCCAAGGCCAGCAGTCCAACAAAGAAGCCGCCCCTGGCGGGCGGGCAGCAGCTGCAGCACAGCACGCCATCAGGTAGTTCCCTGCACAATGGGTCGTCAACAGTTGCCTACTTGTATTCATTTGGCTGATTCTGCTTCCTGCAGGTGTGACCCCAGCAGCGCTACGACGGTTGAGCACGCTGGGCATGGCTGCCACACCCCCCCTGGCATCGGCCACCCGCAACTCTCAATGTGTTGCTGACATGAGCCAAGGTGGCTGTGGCAGCCTACTGGAGGCTCCCAAGGGGGAGAGCAGCAGGGTGCTTAAAGCCCCCGAGCTGCTGCCTGTACCTTACACCCAGCGGCTGGAGCTTCCAGTGGCTGCACCTGGCCGAGGCGGCGATGCGTGGGAGGCCGACGGTGATGGAGCGCCTACTGTTGTGGCTTCATCCCGCGGTGCAGTGAAATCGGCAGGGAACCCTGCTGCGGGTGATGGCATGGAGAACCTGAAACAGCAGGTGTGTATGCTAATGGCGGTTGCGACCCAGACACCCCCGCGGTGGGGTATCTGATGAGCAGTTATCTGTGCATTTTGTTTGGGAGCAACATCTGAGTCTCTTTGGTGTGGCTGGGCCCCCCACAGGCTGCCAGCCTGCGGTTCGGGCGCGACCTGCGCCTGTTGGAGGTGCGCCGCCTTCTCCGCAGCAGTGCTCCCGTCACCCTGCGCGTTGGCAATGTGCCAGAGCCCAGCGATGCAGGCAAGTGACCACCAATGGTGTGCCTGACCCAATGCTTTGAGGCTGTCAACGTCATCTTTTATGAATGCGGCATGGGCCTCATTATGTATTACACTCCTACTTCATGCGAGGACATTCCTGCCATCTTTGCTGCTGCAGAGGGCACCGCTGCACAGCAGTTGAAGCTGACAGTGTTGGCCATCAGGACATGTGCGCTGCCACTGGGCCGTGGGGCGCTGACGCTGGGCACCTTGCGCCCACTGCCTACCGAACCCCTCCACATCCCCCCGCTCTGTCTAGGTGGGTGGTTCTGGTCTGTGCGGGCCTGTGACGCAGCCGACTAGCCGCTGCTAGCTTGTCTGGCTGGTTGTTGTTGTGAGTGCGGCTTGGCCAGCTCCAGCTACCTGAACTGCGCTCCCATTACTGCATTTGCCTGTGCGCGCTTCTTGCCCTCACCGCAGCCGGGCGTTTGCCCGAGCAAAACAATGCTGTGGTCAACCTGGACTTCACGGGGGCAGCCCCAGCAGTAGGTATGTGCCTTCTTGGACTGGGGGCATGCAGCTGAATGGCCTGGTAGTTGCCAAAAACTGCTGTAGTTTGAAGAATTATTCGCTGTTTAGAAGCACACTGGTGACAAGCATTCTGTTCCGACACACCCTGCCAGTTAGTATATCATCGTTCTCATTCCATCTGCACTGCTGCTGTGCTGTAGGTGGCGGCGCCTTTGCAGAGCAGACTGCCTGGCCCGAGTTCCACAATGGTGTGGCGGCAGGGCTGCGCCTGGCGCCTGGCACCCACCAGCTGACGCGCACCTGGGTGGTCTACAACAAGCCGCTTGGTGGGTATCCTGAGAACTCGGGATGCGGGTGCTGTGTCGCCTGAAATTGCTGACCCCGCGCCATCTGCCTGCAAATTGCTAACCGCAGAACCGAGCTACTCCCATGCCGGAATGCTTATGGCACTGGGCCTGACCGGGCACCTCAGGTGGGTCCCAACGAGTCTGGCAGTGCTTGGGCATGCCTGCCAGAGCTATTTGTTCTTGACAGGCATGACATGCATGGTCCTGCTGCCTATCCCTCGCCCTGCGCCCTCCCACAGCTGCCTGGCTGCCACCGACCTGTACCGCTACCTGGCCCAGGAGCACGATGCCACCATCATCGGCGTGCTGCTTGGCATGGCAGCCTCCAAGCGGTGGGTGTCCTGGCGATTGCTGCCGCATTCTCCGGGTTGTGTTTGCATTGGTCCATGCATCGATGCCTCCCTCTCATCTTCCGAGTTTGTTTCGGTGCCACCGCCACATGCATTGCCTGCCTTGCCTGCAGGGGCAGCCAGGACGCGACCATCAGCAAGACCCTCTTTCTGCATCTGCCCACCCGCCACCCCTCGTCATACCCGGAGCTGGACATCTCGCCGCTGGTGCAGGCAGCAGCGCTGGCGGGGGTCGGCCTACTTTTCCAGAGCACCTGTCACAGGTGGGTTCAGAGCGACCATGCCGATTCGGCAACTGCTTTTGGTTTGCACATGGTGTTCAGCAGCGATTAGGATGCTAGGATACGGGCCTTGTATGCAGGGTGATGGCTGAGGTGATGCTGGAGGAGATTGGACGGAGACCTGGCGGTGCTTCTCAAGAGGAGGAGGGCCATCAGCAGGGGCTGGGGGCGAGCAGCCTGCACAAGGTGTCGCGTGGGGCTGCTGGGGCAAGGCGGCGTGAGTGCTTTGGTTGCAACTGTGGTACCTGCCCAGACCTGGGTGGAAGTCTGTCAGAACCGAAGCCCGTCGCCTTCCTGGGTGATTTTCTGCAGGGTGTAACCCAGGACCGCGAGGGCTATGCACTGGCGGCGGGGCTGGCGCTGGGCCTCATCACGCTGGGCAGGGGCAGGGCAGCGGTGGGGCTTGCTGACCTGCACCTCGAGGACAAGCTGAGGTGACTTGACTTATGGCAAGCATAGAGCAGGCAGTGGTATGGTTTGTCGGTCGCAGGGATCTGTTTGGGAAGGCACCTAGGACCCCCCTTCTCCCTGGCCCTTCCACCCTCCTGCCCCCTAGGTACTTCATGATTGGTGGCTCTCAAAGCGGCACAGTAGGCACGCAGCAAGGCCTGGTGGCGGCAGGCGGCCAGGTCGCCTTGCCTGGTGATGGCGTGTTTGGGCCGGGCGTGATTGGTAGGTTGCCTTCAGACACACTGAGCGCGTCCTGTTGTGTGCCTCAAGTGTCAGTTGGCTCCCAAACCCCCCGGTGCATGCCTTCCAGAACTTGCTCTGCTGTGCCGCTGCAGGCTTTGACCTGACGCTGGGTGAGCCGGAGGCGCGGCACGGCCCACTTCCCCGCAATAACGGCTCTGCGCGGGTGGTGGGCAGTGTGGCAGAGGAGCTGGCGGCTGCACAGGGCAGCAGCCAGGTGTGTAGTCGTTGGCAGCTAGCGATGGCATCCAGCTGCCGGTGCGTCTTCCTCTCACAGCTTCCTCCGTCACCCCCATTCCCGTCTTGGCCCTGGCTGAACTCGCTTCCTGCCATGCAGGTGGTGCTGGAGGGCGACCTGGTCAACTTGGGGGTCACCTCACCTGCGGCGGCTCTGGCACTGGGCCTCATGTACCTGCAAACCAATGATGGCGAGGTGGCGGCAGCCTTCCAGCTGCCCGACACCCACTTTGCGATGGACTTTGTGCAGCCCGATCAGCTGGCATTGCGCATGCTGATGCGTTCACTAGGTGTGTGCCAGACACACTGGCTGGCCTGGCAGGATTCCTACTCAAGGCTTATGGCCGATGTTCAGCGGAACATGCACCCACCCGCGCTACTTTATGTCTGCGTGCAGTGATGTGGGACAGCATCCAGCCCACCGAGGAGTGGCTGCTGGGGCAGCTGCCGCCCCTGCTCAAGGTGCGGTGTGGTGCCCAGCAGGCCCTGGTGCACACACACGAGCAGCGCTGATGCAACATCTCGCGCGCTGGTGGTCTGCATGTGTGAGCTGTCCCCCCTAGCTGCACAAGCTGCAGGGGCCGCTGTCAAAGTTTATGGCCAGCGAGGGCGCAGATGTGCCGCATGCCGACTACGAGGCATTGACGCAGGTGACCCAAGGACGCTGTGGTGGTGGGATGCCCCGGCGCGGCGGGGGGGGGGAGGCGGGGGGGCGGGCGGAAGGGAAGCATGGGCAGTTCTTGGCTCCAGGTCCACCACACGTACCCACGCTGCATCTGCAGGCACACTGCTGGTGTTTGGCTGGAGCATGCCTGGCAGTTGGCATCCGCTTTGCAGGTTCCTCTAATGCACGTGCAGAGGCGCTACTTAGGTGATGTGCTGAGGTTGGCAACGGTCTGTTGCTGGTGGGCACGCATCCAGCTCCACGTTTCGCATTGAAGCACCAGCATTCGTGTCCTATTCACCTCTGTGCAGGAAGTACGTCCATCACTTCCTGGCCGCTAAGCAGCACGCCCCTGAACCAGGCACAGGTAAGAGGTGGCAGGAGGGCTCCACAGTATGACTGTGCTTGCTGGTCGCTGTCGTGCCTAGGAGGCGTATGTTGCTGCCCGCCTTGACTGTCTGATTTCCCCGCCATTTGGATGGATCTTGACAAACTACCAGTTTGCCTGCACCTGCCTGCCCCCAGGTGTGGCCAGCCCTACAAACCGCGACCTGCTGGAGGACTGCCTGGGCAGCCTACTGCTGGCACTTGCTGTGGTCATGGCGGGCAGCGGCCACCTGCCCACCTTGAAGCTGCTCAGGGGTGCGCAGACAGATCGTTAAGCGCCTCCGAACGTTTGCGAGGGAGGCCTTGTGATCGCACAACCTGCCAACGCACACTAAGCGCTTTGCCGGCTCATTACCTCACCACTGTACGCCTTGGCGTTACGCGATGCAGGCCTGCGAAAGCGTCTGGCAACTGCCACGCTCTCCAATGCTTCGCAGCCCAGTCCTGCCTCCCCTCCCACCAGCAGCCTGAACTATGGCAGTCACTGCGTCGTTAGGTGGGTGGTGCTGGCTTGGGGATGTTGCTGATTGCAGTCTACCTGATGCTGACTATGCTGGCTAACTACCCCCTGCGTGCAGCATGGCGCTTGGCTTCCTCTTCATGGGTGCTGGCACACTCACCTTTGGGACCAGCCTGGAAGCAGGTGGGCATGGGCTGATCAGCATCCTTTTTATCCCACATCCATGCGGCATACAACAGCTGACCCTGGGGTCCAGGTGCACCTCGCTGACTCATTTGTTTGTGATATGCAGTGGCGGCGCTAGTCATCTCCCTTTACCCCCACATGCCTGCCTCCACCATGGATCACCGTTGCCATCTGCAGGCAAGCACGTTTCTGGCTGCAGGCTGGACTGATATCCCTTCTTCGCTTAGCAACATGCGTCATCTGTGGCTTGATCTGCACTGCTTGCAGGCCTTCCGCCACCTATACGTGTTGGCGGCCCAGCCGCGCAGTGTCGACGCCATTGATGTTGACACCAAGCAGGCAAGCGAAGACGCTGTACCAGTGGCCTGTGAACTTCACCGCCACTTGGTGTTGCGCTTGGTATTGCACTGCGCAGTTACTGTCTGACACAAACCCTCGCCTGTCTTCAAGCTTGTGCAGGCGGTGTATGTGCCACTCGAAATCCTGCTGCACGACTCCGCAGGGTCAACGCCAACAGCTGCTGCCCACTTTGGTTCAGTGCTGCGCCCGGTGGCCAGCATCAGCAAGGCATGTTGGGTGCTCCACAGTGCTTAGTGCAGCACAAGCCAGGGTTGCCACATACATGTTTCATCCTGGCAACCTCATTGGATTGCTGGTGCAGGGCGCAGGCGACGTGCTCGCTGACTTGGCAGCTCAGTCGGCTGCAGCCGGTTACCAAGCGTCTTCAGCAGACGTTTTCGAAAATGACTGTAGTACCACACCTGCCATTGGCGGCGGCCTCGACCATCGTCGTGGCGACGGTGGCATCACTTTTGACCGTATTGCGCCCTGCCTGCTGCCAGAGCAGAAGCAGGTGCAGGCACTGCGGCGGACGCTTTTGAGAATCTTACGGGCAATTCCTTGCTATGCCATGCAGCGCTGCTCGATTGAACGCCAAATAGACGATGCCTATCGCCCGTCATGCATGCTCCCGCAGGTCGGCGCAGTGCGAGTGACAGGTCCGCGCTACTGGCACCAACAGCTGCTGACGCGGCAAGGAGCAGTGGGCAGCGGGCGTGGCCCCTCCCTGGATGCGCTGTATGCAACTCGCACCCTGTTTGTGCAGCGCAAGGCGGGGGCGCTGCCCTATGCAGATGACCCCTCGGGTGAGACCTGTTGCTGTGCACCCCATTTACCGCCATTGGAAATTGTTTGTAGCATAGGTTGTTTGAGTTGGCTGTTAAATGCCGCTGTCGCTCTGCTCTATCGCAGGCGTTCGCTCACTGCTGAGCCGCATGGTACATCATGGTGGCGGCGGCAGCGATGCCTCGGCTGGCGCCGATTCCTTCGACTTGGTCAATCTCTGCTCAACCTTTGGCTCCAACCCCTTCGTCATGTGCTTTGCAAACGTGAGTGAGCGTACACGGCAATTTGTTGCACCAAGCTTACAGGCTAACTCAGTGCTGGTGCTCCTTCTGACCATTGGTTTGCCTGTTGCAGCTGTTTTGTGGAGGCGGCAGCGATGGCGAAGCGCTGGGTAACTTCTGTTCACGCTTGCCCGTGGCAGCCTGCAGCTTCCGTAACTTCTGCAGGTAGCATCCGGGAGGAAATCTGGCAGGGCATGTGGTGGCCGCCTCTGGCCTGGTGTGAGGCTGCTGGCTGGCTTCTCCTGCTGTGTCACCCAGGAAGTCGTCTCCCTTCCTTGGTGCAGGGGCGCCCTGTACGAGTGCATCACCAAGGAGAAGCCCACCGCGCTGCCCACCTACCTGCTGCTGTATTGCATCAAGCAGGCGAGCTGGTGTTGTAGGTTGCATCAAATTTCTGCCCACTACCTCCTGCCTGTGCAGCGCAACCTCAGCGGTCGCTCGCATGCACCCATTCTGCAGGGGCTGGCCGACGGCGTTAGTGCCAGTGCCGCTCCGTCACAGCTGTGGGGGAGGCTGCCACCGGCGGTGCCACTGCACAGCCTTGCGCTGGGCCTGGCTTACTACGACGGAGCCCTGGGGCTGGCGGGCACGGTTGCGCACGCAGCGGCGCTGCAGCAGGGCACAGGTGGGCATGGCCTTTCGCTGATAGATTGCACCCAGGAGGACTCATTGTGTTCTCGTCCCACCTGCTGTGATCCTTCCAACATGTGCCTCTTGCACATGCAGGTGGTGAGTCAGCTGCAGAACAGTGGGAGCCGGTTATCAGCCCGCTGTTGCTGCAGGCCTGTTGGCAGCAGCTGGAGGCGGCGTGGACTGACAGCAGGGCCATCAGCGGCAAAGCCCTGCGCCACTACGTGAGCAGCGGCGCGCTAGCAGTACCAGCTGAGGTGCCAACGGCAGCAGCGGAGGTTGTGGCAGCGGCGGGCATGCTGGGCTCTTATCTCCAGCTGCATGGCGTGCCAATGGCAGGAGTGCTGCAGCAGACGGCGAGGCAGGTGCAGGACATGTTGGGCGAGGCGCAACTGCCAAATGCTGCTGCTGCCAGGGCAGCAGCTGCAGCGATGCTTGCCAGTGTTGCACCAGGCATGGGCCTGCCAGCTGCTCAGGCCATCGCAGCTGCTCTGCTCCACTGACTGCCGTGACCAAGGCTATGCATCCCACAGCTGGCATTGCTTTGCACTGGCAGCTACACACAAGCCTACTCTAACTTCGACCCAGCAGCATGTTACATTGTACACCGATCGATCACGATGGCAAAATGGAGCGGAGCTCTACATGTGCTAGCCCATAGTAGCAGATGTCACCCTTCTCAATCGTGGAAAAACGTACCGGCACGCCGTCGGCCGCTGCATCGGCTGCTGACATGTCCTGTGGTGTGGGCAGCGCGGTGCAAGGCAGCACCGACACCACAAAGGCGGGGTTGCCAGGCGCCTTGCGGCTGAACCTGCTGTTGGAGTTGAACACGTCGTAGTGCTGCAGGGCAGGATGTTGAAGTTGGGGAGGAGGTGGGTGGGATGAAGACGTGCTTGAGTCTTCCCGACATGCATTCAAAAATGTATCAGGAGCGGTCGGCATCACAGCAAGCACACTCGCATGCACCTCACTCACCAGCAGGTGGTGGCCACCGGAAGGCCCTGTTGGTGGCTGCAGCTCAGCCAGCGGAATCGCCTGCAGCGGCGCCATGCATGGGAAGGCGGCACGGGCACGCTGCGCCGCATCCGGTAGCACCGTGCACCGTGGCAGCGAGTCTAGGAAGTTGGCAGGCAGGCACCGCAGCCAGGGGTTGGCGCTACTGCTGTGCACGTCATGCAGTTGCCCTTGTTGCTGTTGCTGCACGCTGGCTGGCCCAGCCACCCACCATGTGCCGCTGCGCTGCTGCTGAGGCTGCACCTTGGGCCTCTTGGGGGTGCGGCCAGCTGGCAGAGCCGCCGGGGGCGTGGGAACTGTGCTGCCTGCTCGGGCTGCCGCCAAGGGCTGCTGCTGCTGGACTTGCTGCTGCTGGCACTGCTGCACCACCGCGGAGCGCGCCCCACAAACTTGCTGCTGCTTGCCGCCGGCGGCCATGGCGGGGGCCTGGCCCCACCCTGCCCAGGCCTGCACGGGGCCCTCGCCCGGGCGCAGCAGCCAGCGTGCGGGGTGGCGCTGCACAATGTACCCGGCTCGTAGCAGCTTGCAGAAGACAAGGTAGCGGTCCATGCTAACCCCCGTTGCCAGCATCAGGTCATGCGCCTCGGCTAGCGACAACAGCCGCTGCTGCTGCGACTGCTGCCACCTCCGCCCACTGCTGTCGGTGCCGCTGTGCGCTTGATGCAAGAACAGCAGCAGGTTGGCGCGGTCCAGCAGGTAGCTGCAGCAGGCACGAGGCAAGGCGGATGGGTGGGTAGGCCAGCAATGTGCTTGGCTGGGCCTCATCAGTTGCATGACAAATGAGGCAGGTACACGTGAAGTCAGATGAACAACTTGGAACTGTATAGCCAGATTGATCCGGCCCCACTCTACTCACACGGCTTCCTCGATGAACAGGTAGAGCTTGCTGCCACGCATGAACCCCATGTGCGCCAGCAGCTTGCCCTTCTGCAACACCACCTCGGCCAGGCCCAGCTCGGGTCGCCAGATGGCGGCTGCCAAGTCGCGCCTGGAAGCAGGAGAGGGTGTGGGGTGGGGTGGTAGGCCGGTTGGCGGGCACCGCCACCGCATGTATGCATGTCCTGTATGCATGTCCCTGGCCGGGGGGTGGGGTGGGGTGGGGAGGGGCACATCGGGCCCACGCCTTGCCCCCCGATACGTCTCATTAGTTTGCGAAGCAGTCCGTGCCATGTGCTCACCCTGTGCGCTCCATGGCCCACACCGAGTGCAGCTCTCCCAGCTTTCCCAGCAGCTCGGCCTGCTCATCAGGCTCCTGTCCATCATCAAACAGCTCCTGCTTCTGACCTCTCTTGAAGACGCTGCGCCGTTTTGAAGCTGGCTGCTCCTCCATTGCCAGGGATTGACAACCAAGGCTGTGCGAGGGCAATTCAGGTATGCACATTGGGTTCCTGCGCTACTCGCTGACATTGCAGGACGATACTGCAGTACAAGTTTGAGTTTGATTGCAGCGCTGCGCGGCGTGGCAATTTGACGATTGGACGTGCTGTTGGCGGGGGAGACGCACGGAGCCACTTCTCGCCGTTCTGCGGCTGGAATTTATTACAGCCCTGGTGATTACTGACGCAGTTGCGGAAGGGGACGGCGGGGCAAGATCCTAACCCTTGAATGCTTTGTGTGGACCTTGCTCCTCTGCCGCCTTCTCCTCTGCCGCCGCCGCCGCCGCTGCCACAGCCGAGGTTACTGCTGGTGCACCCAGACTCCGCCTTCAGAGCAGTTGCACATGAGTGGAGTTACACCTGTCACCGGGCAGGTATGTGCACATGCATATGCTCTGGAGCCCAGCCGCCACGCACGCAATCTCACCCCAACGCACCCGCCTTGCGGCGCAGCTGTCTGCCTCCTCGCGAGTGGTCGTTCTGAGATACGAGGATCTGGCCAACCCTGATGTCGACATCAGCGCGCAGCTGGAGGAGGTGGGCAGATGCTATTGATACCATGTCAGTTGCGCCACCCGAGGGCAATGCCACTGCCTAGTACTTTGCACCTAGTTGCCAACCACATTGCAGGCCTACGGCCCCTCAGGCCTGGGCATCGCCACTGTGAGTGGTGTGCCAGGCTACGAGCAACTGCGTCAGGGGCTGCTGCCGCTGGCCGCCAAGCTGGCGGCGCTGCCCCAGGCAACGCTGTCGGCGCTGGAGGACCCGGGTTCGCGGTTCAGCTTTGGGTGGAGCTGCGGACGGGAGACGCTGGAGGGCGGTCAGCCCGACACGCGCAAGGGCTCATTCTATGCCAACCCGCTGCATGACGATCCGTCGTGTGGCGACGCCGACCTGCAGCGCCGGTTCCCCTCGTACTGCCGCCCAAACATGTGGCCGCGGAGCGAGCTGCCAGTGCTGGAAGCGGCGTTCAAGGCGCTGGGACGCCTGATCCTCAATGTCGGGTTGCTGCTGGCGGGGCACGCGGACAAGTACGTTGCTTCCAAGGCAGGCTACCCACCCCGCCTTCACGACATTCTGCGACAGTCACCCTGCCCTAAGGGTGAGGTGGAGACAGAAATCCCGGTCTGTGAGGGAGGCCCTCCACTGCCAGCCAGTGCAGCGCTGTTTGGGCGCCTAGCTGTGGATTGCCATCGCCGTTGTCTGCTGCTCATGCTGGTGATGCGGCTGCAGTTTCCTGAGTGCCCCTGCCACTGGCCCTCACCTTATCCATCTCCCTCTCTTCCCCTTCCCTGCAGGCCGCTTGCTGCACTACTTTGCCCCGGTTGCCACGGCTGGAACCAACCCTGTGCGCAGCTGCAGCATAGATGCCAACTGGTGCGGCTGGCACACCGACCACGGCAGCCTGACGGGGCTGTGCAGCGCATTGTACATCGACATGGAGGGGCGACCGGTAGCCTGCCCCGACCCGCAGTCGGGGCTGCACGTCAAGGACCGCTCAGGTCGGTGTGTGATGGCACGGCTGCAGCTTGTGCTGATTCCCGAGTTGCTCGCTTGCCGTCATGAATCTCCTGTGCTCACCGCTTCACTTTCCACTGCTGCTTGGTATGCGGGGTGCAGGGCATGTCATCCAGGTTGCAATCCCAGAGGATCACGTGGGATTCCAAATCGGAGAAGCAATGCAGGTATTGAGGCTGGCTGGGTTAGGGAGAGAAGAGATGCAGGAGGAGCCGACCGGGCCATCTGCTGGCGCACTGCACATCCACCCTGCCATCGCACACCGCATTTGCCCATTGCCTGCAGGTGCACTCCGGCGGGCTACTGCGCGGCACCCCACACTGGTGAGGTCTTCACCTCACTCACGCTGGTGGGACTGTTGCTTATAAGCTGCATGGACAGACAAGGCTTCTGAATACAGCATGCTAGATTGCCATCGTGGTAGTTTAATCTTCACCTTTGCTGTTGCAGCGTTGTCGCACCGCGGCCAGAGTTCAGCGCAGGCGTCAGTCGAAACACCTTTGCGGTGTTCACACAGGTGGGCTTGGTGCTGGTCCAGCTGACCCACCCGAGCTGCACCACGAGCAGGCGGCTCCGGCTGCTGCATGGGGGGTGGGGGTGGGGATCTGATGCTGATGATGACGCATTCAACTTATGCTCCTGCAGCCCAAGTGGGATTATTCTATGGATGCGCCAGCAGGCGCTAGGCCCGAGGATGTGGGCATTGGGCAGTGGCGGCCAGGCCTGGATTTCGGCGGATTCAGCGAGCTGACGTTCAATGCGTATTACAAGGAGTGAAAAGACTGCATTGGAGAAAGCAATCAGGGTGCAGTGCCGAAATGTAGCAAATGGGCTGACATGGTTGAAAGGCAAGTGTCATGTTCGGCGCAGGGCTAGAGAGCAGCAGATTTGGAGGGTGTAGCCAAAGCAGCGCCGCCCCCCCTCTTTCGTGCTACATTCACCGCTGCTCTGAAGGCCACCTCCTTGGCATTGGGTGGCTTGCCGCCCTTAGCCTGCGCTGCTGTGGATGCTGCCGCCGCCGCCGTCTGGGCCACTGAGGGGCCCGTCTCCTCGACCCCAGCCCGTGCCTGACGATCAATAAACACCTCACGGCAGTGCTCCAGCACCTACGGCAGGTCAAGCAGCAGAGGCAGGACGGTGCTGGCTGCCGCCAGACAGCACAACAGCGAACTGGCCAGGCCAGAAGCTGAACACCACGGCTAGCAATTCGGCTGCTCTGTGCCCGATCCTGCCGCTGCACCCTGCCCTAGCCTGGCCTGGCCACTGACCTCCCGTGCATCTGCCTTGGTCATGTGCTTGTCTGAGGTGGCTCGGGCATTGATAAGGTTGGCCAGCAGGGTGGGGGTGATGCCCGGGGCAGAGGTGAGCAGGGTGGTGTAGGACAATACGAAAGACTCCACACTGTCTGCCATCAGGAACTCGCACACATCAGCCAGTGGCTGGCACTCACGTGCCACCTGCAGAGAAATGGCTGTGGGCTTATGGGCAGGTTGAGGCGCAGCAAAAGCCCACAAATCTCAATCCCATCGAAGCTTCCGACCAACCTTGTCTGCCTTGGTGTACCGTGCAAAGAACTGGCGCAGGCGGTCGTAGTCGCGCCGAATGGCTGCCACCTCGTCTTCCGTGACGCTACGCAGGAAGGAAACGACCGCTGCCACAAAGTGTGCCACGCACTCCTCCAGAAGTGCTTCTGCCAGCCTATTGGGGAGTGCGTTGGAAACAACAGCAGGCCAGGCAGTTGCGAGCAGGACTTGGGAAATGCAAGTGGGGCGGCAGGTCAAGCAGGCCAGCAAGCCGCAATGCTTCAAGCAGCCACCTCGCGATTCACCTCCGATAGAAGGGCGGCTGCACCATGCGCTCAAAGTCCTGAAGGAAGTCTTCTAGGGTGGCCAGCACACTGCCCATGATGCTGCCGCTCCTCCCGTCCTCGCTGCAATAGAGGCGAGTGAAGAGCTCGGCAAAGGCGGGGTCGGAAAAGACAACCGCCACGCAGGCGGCAACGCCTTCTTTTGCCAGGTCCAGGAAGCCACGGCACGCGCCCTCCACATCCAGCGACCCTGAGAAAGGGCGGGTGAGACGACGGGCACAGGGGCAGCAGCAGTGATAGTGAAAGATGTTCAGCGTGGAAGATGTTGAGCGTGGCCCAGCATGCTAATTACCCACCCACCCACCCACCCATCCATCAAGCCAGCCAGCCCAGGCATCCATCCCCACCTTTCAGATGCTCCGCAAACCGCTCCTCCAGCCCCTCGGCAAACTCGAGCGACTCATCATAGCAACGCACGTTGTTGTTGATCACGGCGCACAGCATCTCCAGCGGCAGACCATCGCTGACATAACGGCGCTGAGCCGCCTGGAAGTCTTCCATCGTCACCACTGCGGCCTATGGAGAGGGAACAGGGCCATGGTTGGAGTTGAGAGCATCGTCAGAAGCAACTGTGCGAGGCTCAGGGGGAGGGTACGAGCACATCAGGTTGGACTCTCCGCCCTGCCCAAACGGGCAGCAGTCAGCCCCGAATCCTCTGTCCGGCCCCAATCCTGCACTCTCACCTGGCCCACGCGCAGCAGCATGTCGCCCTGGTTCACCTCTGCCACCACTGCCACCTGCTCATTCAAGATGCGGAAGAAGTCGACTGCGCCCGGAGTCCACATGCGCCCCTCCGCACTCGCCTTGGGCTCAAATTTGAAGTCACCCTCAACAATGTTGTTGAGCCAGGAAGAGAGAGTGGCAACCGTGCGGTCCACATACTTGCCGATTAGCAGGCTTACGCCCGAACGGGGGCTCAGTGGGAAAGCCACGTCCTCCTCCTCCACCCCAAATTCGCCAAGCGCCTCCTGGTACCCAGCAATCCACTGCATAACCTGCAGGCACAGCCACAAGAACCACAACAAGAGCGGGGCATTGTCAAGTTGCACAATAGGGTGACTAGGCGAGTTATCCAGGGAAGG